GTAAACTCTCAGATGGCAGACCATCTATTAATTACCTGTGTAGAGCCAAATATGATGACCTGGAAAATAAGGGGGGGCATCCTGCACTTAATGATGATGCAAATAATTGTCAAAAACAGCTTTAATTTCCCTTTCAAGGTTGTTAAAACTTTGAAAGGAAGTTCCTTCTTGCCTGAACTGCATTTCTAGTGTATTAAGGTGATAAATCAAATGCATGTTAACCTGATGTGTTGGCATAATATAGAATATCATCTTAAAAGACGTCAGAAAGCTGACTAGTATAGTCAAACAGCAACAATCACAAAGTAAAAGAGATGTATTTAATTAACTGGAGACTGTGAGCAATTGCTTTTTCACTTTGTTCTGTAGGGCAAAAGCCACAAACCATCCGTTGGTGCAGGTTTTCAAAACTGAGAAAATCTATTGTAAACTCTCAGATCTTACAGATAGGCTGTGGTGCTATTATGACTTCAAGAAGAGCGTTTGGTATTAACCCATGGGTGCCTGCACTCTTGTGATAAGGTTGATTTTATTTCCAAAATGAATACTATCAATTTGAACTCTAAACACTCTGGAAATTCCTATATCAAAAGGTATTTTAATAGCCATGCAAAAGAATTTTTTAAGAAAATATTGCTTTCATTATATGTATATATGAGTTTCTCCCTCTTCCTGTAACATTAAAAAAAAATGAAAAAAAAGGAAGAATTCATTTTGGTTCAGGAATTTAGCTACACTTCATCTTTTCCTCTGAGAACAGAAAAGTTGGATTGACATCAAGCCAGTTTACGGAATTCTAGGACTTCCAAATACTGGTAGATTCACTGAAATCTGGCAGATGAATATGGCAGCACTTTGCATTGGGCATTTCAGGTCTGTCTGAAACGCAGAAGCACAAAGATGTCTTAAATTTATGGCTAATGATAAATTTTGATGTATTGCTTGAGATTAAATTATTGATTTATGGTTTTCAACAATTCTTATAGTTTACTAAAGGCCCGGTACAGGAAATTCATGCACGGGGCTGGGGGCGGGGGTCCCCTCAGCCTGGCCTGAGCCCTCTCGCAGTCTGGGACCCCTCGGCGACCCCTCGCTCCTTACCGCCAGCCTGCTCGCTGCTCCTTAGCACTGCCACGGAGGCTGGAGAGGCTCCTGCCACCTCCCGCCACCGCTGCTGCACTCGCCAGCTGTGAGCCCGGCTTCTGGCTGAGTGGCACTCCCCCTGTGGGAGCGCACTGACCACCAGGGGCAGCTCCTGCGTTGAGCATCTGCCCCCTGGTGGTCAGTGTGCATCATAGTGACCGGTCGTTCTGGTCGTTCTGCCATAACAGTCCCTTAGGCTTTTATTATTTATATAGATAATACTTCACTGGTTACTGTCTATGAGAGTGTTGGGTGGAAAAACCAGAAAGGCTATACTGCATACCTATGTGCATTGATACCTCTAGCCATCAGCATACATTACATAAGTTAAGTGGGGTTTTCTAATTACATACAACTTATCATAAGTCCAGAAGATTACAGACACATAACTAAATTTCCAAATAGCATTTTATATATATATATATATATATATGAAATTAGCACCCTGGATGGAAGTACCTAATAAAATATTGAAAACGTTTTTTTAATACAGCAGAGCTTTCATTGGACTTAGCTTGAGATGTCTGAAAACTAACTTTGCCGCTTGCATAGCAATAGTGGATAGCTGCCAGCAAAGGGCTTTATCACAGCATAAATGGGGTTTTAAGTGTTTGTTTCCAGTGCAGGTTCTCGCAGCCCAGGCACTTCCCAGTCTCATTGTTCCTTTGTTCTAGCGGATGTACAAAGGATTGACTGTTTTGTTTTCTGGCTCAGAGAGATTAGATAAAGTCTGCATTTTTGAACTTCACCCTCTAGGCACGGAACCTTAAAATTCATTTTCTGGAGCTCCTATTTTGCAGATTATATATGTTTAGATTATACTGAACATAACATCATTTTCTTTGGCCTTTATCTGGCTCAGTTGTAGACATTGATGACGGTACGGTATTGATCTCATTGGAACTATCCCTGGAAAGCAGCTGTCCCTCTCATCCTTGTCCTTAAAATGCCTCTTCAGCAAAAATGTATCATCTCGGTTGGCTATGACAAGGCTGTTCTTGAGTTTTGTTGGCTATTAGAATCTTATGGTAGTGAAATACCATCCTTGCCAGATAATAAGAAAACTTTCTGTGAGGGATAATTATGTTCTTTGCTTTTGTTATGATGTCCTTAATTATAGACTATTATCTAAGATAGAAATAATATTGCCAGGAATAAAAAAAAACAACTGTTTTTCCTCCAGAGCTTTTAAATGCGAACCACCTTGGGAATTTTTTATTTTATCTTAAGGGTTAGAGAGTTATTTCATGGGAATAAATTGGTAAGATTTTTCTCAAGATTGGTTTTCATGAAGAGAGCAACTAAGGCTTTTATCACTTTGATTTAAAAACTTGTATTCCACTTTTGCCTTCAGTTATTCAGAGGAATTTTTTTTAAAGAAGTGCTCACATTTGTTCTTATTTATTTACTAGGGGCCCAGTGCACGAATTCGTGCACCTTGAAAAGAACTATGGGCAGCGAGGCTGTGGTGGGCACAGGGGTGGGTCTCGGCCCATTCTCTGTGCCCCTGCCCAGCCCCTCCCATCACAGCCCCCGGTCCCCTGTCTACTGGCGGCCCCGCTCCCATGTCATAGTGACCGGTTGTTTGGTTGTTCGGTTGTTCCACCGTTCGGTCTATTTGCATATTAGGGTTTTATATAGAGAGATTTTTTGTTAATCCTCACCTGAGGATAGTTTTTCATTGATTTTTAGAGAGAGTGGGAGGGAGAGAGAGAGAGAGACAGAAACATTGATTCTGTCATGAGAGAAACACATCCATTGGTTGCCTTTGCACATGCTCCAACCAGGGCCGGAGCCTGCAACTGAGGTACATGCCCTTGACTGGAATCGAACCTGGGGCCCTTCAGCCCACAGGCTGACACTCTTTCTACTGAGCCAAACCCGCTAGGGCCAGAGGAATTTTTTTATGACCAAGTAGACAGAGTAAATTTATATCACTGAGTGCCCATTGTATGCCAGGTAAAATCTTCTCTGTATTTTGTTACTCCTGAAAACCCCAAGAATGCAGGTACTATAATTATATTCCCCAGACAGATGGGAGAAGGGAGGCTTAGACAGACGAAGTTACTTGCCCAAAGTCTTATGACCGATACACGATGAAACTGAGATTTGAACTGAGTTCCTTCTGACTCCAAAGCCCATGCTCTGTGCTACTACAACCTCCTGCTTCTATGACAAGATCTTCTCCTGATTATAGAAGTAATAATAATACTAACACTGAACACTTACTATGTACAGATACTGTTTTTAGTGCTCCAGATAAAATACTCAATTTAATCTTCATAGCAATTCTACTAAAATGATAGTATTATCATCAGCATTGCATAGATGAGACAGCTGAGGCACAGGAGGTTCAGGAATTGCCCGGAGTACACAGCTACAGAGCAGGGGAGCCGGGTGCAAGCCCAAGTCATCAGTTTCTAGAGCCTACACTCTCAGGTGAACCTGTGCTGGGCTGGGGTGTAAACTACACAGTCTTGTCCTCCAAGTTCACCCGTGCTTTCCTGGCTCTTAAAGTTACTGCTGCCTCAGCTTACTTGTCAGCTAACATGTATATTATTGTTAATTGATGATGTTATAAAATCTTGTGTGGTTTATTTAATTTTTGCAGTATCATGTGCTCATATAAATCATAGCCAAAAACATAAACACATTATATAGATCACAGGCTGAATTTAGTCTATGTATGGTGTCTCTAGGTTACCCATAGATAGTCTTATGAACTCTCTGATCATAAATGCCTTTTGAATACAGAGTAAGATTAGCTTGGTCCTGTTTGTATTAATATTAGTGTCACAAACAAGCACCATTTAAAAATATATACTGTTCTAAGAACATTGTAGAATTCCTGTAGTCATTTTGTGAGAAAACTATAATTTTCCAAGAGATAGATAAGAACTGAGATCTCTGTAGCCATGCCACTAAAATATCTGACCTGACTATTGGAATCTAGTTTTCCCTATCTTAATCCCACTTCCTAGACCAAGAAGCATGTGGAATTTCTGAAAATTACTCATATGTGAATGTCTCTCAATGTTTCTACTCCCAGCATTCAGGGTAGGGAGAGTCTCATTTCTCAAATGGTCTCTCTGCTCACTAAACACTGTTGACTTAGTTGCTAACCTGGAGACATGCTGTTCATCCTATTTCGAGTTCCATAGCGAAGATTCGATACATGGGAAATGGGACTTTGCAAACTGACCCAGGCTTTGAGAGTTGAAGCTAAGTGAACAGCTGGGTGCAGGATAACCGATTTCCACCTACTCTGGGGGCCTCAGTAGCTCCAATATGTCCCAGAACTCAAATTTTGAAAATTTAGTGACATAGGAAATCCCAGCTGTTGAGAGAATTCATTTTGGTGAGCAAACCTAGCCTAGGCTCATAATCAGGTCTATATCTTTTGTGGGTTTCTGATATCTAAAACAACCAGAAGTTAGCTATACTTAGCCATGAAAACCCACAACCTTAAAAGGAAAAATTTGAGTACAGCTTTCAAAATTATTTCTTAATGTCTGTATTTTCTGTTGATTTTCATAATTTACCAGGCATAGCCTGGATGTTTGTCAATGTTTGAAAAGTGCTGAACTTGCAAGCCAAAGACAATATCACCTTACTTGGAATTCCAAACTCAGAATTGTCTCAACCAAAAAGTTTTATTAGAAAAAGGACTTTATATGACTAGTAGCTGAGTGGGTTTCTTTTTTTAAATTAAATGGTAAGTTCGGAAGTGGAGTAAAATGCTGATTTGTTCATGGGCAACAGATGTTTTAAGAACAATGAATCTGGATTATAGCAAGGTAAGCATGTTTTGCAGAAGTCTTCATGCCACCTTCTCTTTCTTGGTTTTTGCCTTGCAGACCCTTTGCCTCCTGCTAGGTTTGAGATCAGTAAAGAGAAGACTACTTCAACCAGCCTGCACTTTGGGTGGACTCCTTCTTCCGGAAGAGTCACCTGGTATGAGGTGCAGTTACTTGATGGTCACCAAAAGATGCAGGAGGCCCAAATTCAGGAGAGTACTTCATGGAATGAATATGCATTTTCTAACCTTACTGCTGGTAGTAAATACAATATTGCCATCACAGCTGTTTCTGGAAATAAACGGTCCTCTACAATTCATATCAATGGATCAACAGGTAAGATTACAGGTAGTTGGGTATTTAATAGTCTATGCTCCTTTCACATTATATTAAGTTCAAGAAATGGAAGTAAGAATGCTTCCACATCAAAGATAGGTACACAATACATACATACATACATACATACAACATGCACAATGTTGTGTGATAGAATGGAAAGACTAGACCGAAAATAAGGAGGTGTGGCTGTGCTGCTAGCTTGCTGGGTTATTTTGAACACATCATGGCATTTCTCTGGGTCTAGAGTTCTCTCCAAAATAACGAAGTGTTTCCTAATGGCCCTTCTAACTCAAATTTTAGACAACAACATTTTCCGAGTTTGTGCCATAAAACTAATTTGTTAACTGTTTTCCTCCTTTGTATATTCTTCTCATCACATCAAGTCATGATGTTTTCTAAAGATCTCCATGCTTGGAACAAGTCTTTGCTGGCACCCAGACACCCTAAGATCAATGATATCTCACCATCTCCTCCCACAAGAGGCTGTCTTTCTTATCATTCACTCTCGCCTCATTTTCTCTCCTGCTTTATTGCTCTCTTTCCATTTTTCCTCTCCTTTAGTTCTTTACTTTTTCTTTTTCCCTTTGCTGCGATGCCACATCGTACTTCATTGGCAAAACTACAGAATCACTATATGAAGTTGGAGAGACAAACAGATAAACTATGATGTAGCTTTAGGCTGTGGACTTTGAAAAGAGCATGAATCTAGGTTCTGGTGAAATCTCAAAAGTGCTGTTTTCATTACTTATCACACAAGTTAGATGTACAGAGAAACATACATGAATGTGCAATTTTGAATTAAATGTGTCTGTGTCTTCTACAAGGAAGTTATGAATGACACTTTGCAAATGCGTTTTGTCCCATTAGTGCCATCCCCGGTGAAAGATATTGGTATTTCAGCAAAAACGAATTCTCTCCTGATTTCCTGGTCCCATGGCTCTGGGAATGTGGAAAGATACCAGCTGATACTAATGGATAAAGGGATCCTAGTTCATAACGTTGTTGTGGACAAATATGCTACTTCCTACACCTTTCATGGACTGACATCTGGCCACCTCTACAACCTCACCATTGTAACTGAGGCTGCAGGGCTGCAAAACCGAAAGTGGAAACTGGCCCAGGACGAGTAAGTGCCCCAGCTAGCTGAACAAGAATGATGTGCAAATCAAGGGAAATGTTTAATAAACAAGGCTTATTAATGACTAGAATAATGATAATATAGGACAAATTGAAATTCATACATCATAGAAGGCCCTTAATATGTATCCACTTTTCTAATTAGAAAAAGAGGGGTTTCCTTTATTCTAAAGTGTAGACTAGCCCTTGGCAGCATTCTGAAGTAGCAGGTTAATTACTGATAGAGTCCCAGCTTCTCATTTCAGTATGCCAATCTCTCTTCTCTTAACCAGGATTCCACTGCCCTTGTGACTTCACTCACCGTCAACCAGGGTACTTTTCTCAGCACTACGTGAAGACCCACTCCTGTGAAACAGCCATTTCCCCAAAGCTCTGCCCAACAAAACATGCCCTGAGACCCAGAACCCCAGGACCTGTCTCACAGCCTAATATAGCCCGATAAACTGATGTGTGCTGTTTTAATGAATAATTCACATACACACTAATTCGTTCACTCAATATTGTTTGGGTGTGAACTGTATGTTAGGCGTTGAGGATATAACAACACACAAAAGAGACAGAGTCTTTGCCCTCATGGAACTTACATTTTAGTAGATTCTAATCTTCTAACGTGTTCATAAATACACTCTCTTGGGAAATTATCTAATTTTAGCATAAACTCAGATATGTAGTGCCTTAAAAATTATTCTAGCGATGAGAGTTTCTGGAACTTTCAGAGGCTTGTGGGAATGTACTTGGATACCATACATTTACATATACTTTTCACATCACATCTCAAAATGTATAGACATTCCCAACAAAGATATTCCATATACCTTAAGAATTGTTTACGTATATCAAGAGCAAATTACGCTTCTAACTGATTTGTGCAAACTCATTCTTTTAATGAAGTGTTGTTAATTTATATTATGCCATTAACGAAGCCCCAAAATACAGCATGAGCAAGAGGTAGAAAACATATTCACCAAAATATCTCTCTTTTGTGATCATTTTCCATTGATGAAATAATGACACAACTTTTTTTAATTTTATTTTATTTTATTTTTTGAGGAGGAGGAGTAGAAGGAAGAACAAGATATAATTTTAATTTCGGGATCAGTGAGTCATTGACACAACCCTAAAGCTTTAATTTTATCATCCTTTAAAATGAAAAATAAAGTATTTTTAGCACACAAAATTTTGTTTTAGCCAATCAGTTGACCAATCTATTATGTACTTGCTATTATTAGATACATACAGAGGGGAAGAAATTAGGCAGATGACGACCTCTTTGAGAATTTTGACCAAGTGCTCATTTACCAATAGGACCCCGAGGCTCAGTGAGATGGGCAGAGCTGCCCAGGGCTGCCCAGCCAACTCAACTCAGTCTGAGCCAGAATTCAAACTCCTACTGCCACGTTTGTGCTCTTTCCCCCAGCCAGACAGCCTTTCTTTGGTTTTGCAGTATTATATTTGCCTCATGAAGATGTCATTTTCTTCTGTGCAGGGAGTGTGGCTTGTCAAGATTAAAATTCAGGTCAGCCCTAGCTGGTTTGGCTCAGTGGATAGAGCATCGGCCTGTGGACCAAAGGGTCCCAGGTTCAATTCCTGTCAAGGGCACATGCCCGGGGTTGCAGGCTCGATCCCCAGTAGGGGGCATGCAGGAGGCAGTCAATCAATGATTCTCATCATTGATGTTTCTATCTCTTTCTCCCTCTCCCTTCTTCTCTGAAATCAATAAAAATATATTTAAAAAAATAGAAATAAAATTCAGGTCAAAATTTGGCCACAAGACTGCTAAGCTATCTTAGTTAAAGTCACTTATCCTGTCTTCCTAATTAGCCCCCACAGAAGTCTCAAATCTGAAGGTGACAAATGATGGCACTTTGACCTCCCTAAAAGTCAAGTGGCAGAGACCTCCTGGAAATGTGGATTCCTACAACATCACGCTGTCTCACCAAGGGACCATCACAGACTCCAGAACATTAGCACCCCAGGTTACAGAAACCCAATTTAAAGGCTTAACCCCTGGACGACTTTATCAAGTTACCATCAGCTGTGTCTCTGGTGAATTGTCTGCTCAGAAGATGGCAGTGGGCAGAACAGGTGAGGCTTGCCCCAGAATATTCCTTGGTTGCCCAAATCAGTCTCTGATCCATCTTAGAAGAGAAGGAAAACTCCTTCCCTAACCTGGGAAGTATGGTCTACAAATTGTAGACCATATTATGTAGACCAATTATGTAGATCTACATAATTGAGGGTGTCTGTGGTCAGGCCCCACATACAGAGTAAAGCAGAGGGTTAATTGCATTTATCTGAGTTATTTAAGCAAATGTGTTTGGATTGATTCCTGCCTGATTTACATAACTGGCTCTGCTCTGTGCTATTTCACATCACACCACTTAAGTAGCAAAAATGCATTCGCATTGATACTAATAAATGAAATATTTCTAATCAGCATTTATAGTAAGGGCCAGTTAGCACTTAACCATATTTTCACTAAATTATTTTATTAATTTAAGTCACCAAACATTTATCCAGTGCCTTCTATGTGTAAATTATTGTAGCATGAGCTTTGGGATTTGTTAAAATGGCAGGGTTCAGCAAACTATATCCTTCTGCCAAATATAGCCCCATGCTGAGTGGTTATTACATTTTTAAGCGTTTACAAAAAACACAGAAAGAAAAATACGAGACAAAGACCATAATGGTCCACAAAGCCTGAAATATTTACTTGCTGACCCCCTTGCTCTTAAGGATTATGTTCTAATCACACAAATGTAGAACAGAGCCACACAAAATAAAAATACGGCAGTACATTTTAATAATGGTAATTGTGTTGCTATTTCCATGCGTCAGGCACTGACTTTACGCCATTATTTCATTTAGTTCTCACAAGAAAGGTCCTATTATCATCACAGTTTTACAGATAACTTGTCCATAGTCATCAGCCAGTAAATAGTGTGGCTGGAGTTGAAATCAGGCTGTCTGATTTCAGACTCCATTCTCTGTGTTGTTAGAGACCCCAAGTAAGAACCATAAGTCCAGAGAGACAAGAGAACAAACATTTCTTTCAGAAGAGCAGTAAAGACTTCCTGAAGAGAAACAAGGGAAGGGGATTTGAGGTGGGAGGGATGACATAAGCAAAGGCAGAAGAGTCCAGGAGGCTTACATGTCTGCAGAGCAAGCTCCGGGAGGCCAGCATTAGAGAGAGTGGGGCAGGAGGGAGAGTGGCTGCGGGAGTAGTCAGAAGACTGGAAGGATATGGAGGCTTATTGTGGTAGAGAACTGCAAATGCCACACCAAGGACTTGATTTGTTCTGCAGTTAATGGAGAGACCGTGAATGTTTTTGAGCAAAGGAATAAAATCAGAGCTGTATTGCAAGATTAGTGTTTTTCAACTGAAAGAGGAATATTTTATGACCACAACATGCAGTCTTTTCAAAAAAATGCCCTATCCATCAATGTCGCGGTCATTAGATGCAACATCAATATTGTCTCTAGAACTGGTGTGCAAACAGCGTTCATATTAGTAGGTTATTAATTAACAGTATTGCAGAAGATCGCATTACTGATATACTACTAAAGTGAGTCGGGCATACATTACTGGAGTGTCAACTGTCTTCATAGTGAGGAAAGAAAACACTCATTTGCAATCCACGAACATCAGGTGGGGATAGAAATGGTTTGAGTTGCAGATATTAGGTCTCGTATCTCCTGTTGCCCATGAAGAGTGAATAAGTATCCTTATTTTTGGTTTTTAGTATCTCCTTTTTGACATCATCTCACCATTTAGTTCCAGAGAAAGTTGGGAACCTGGAGGCAAACAGCAATGGTTCGGTGAGGTCCCTAGTAGTGAGCTGGTCGCCCCCTGCTGGAGACTGGGAGCAGTATCGTATCCTGCTCTTCAATGAATCCTTGGTGCTGCACAACATCACCGTGGGAAAGGAAGAAACACATTATGTCATAGATGACATAGGGCTCATACCGGGAAGACAGTATGAGGTAGAAGTCATTGTTGAGAGTGGAAATCTGAAGAACTCTAAGCGTTGCCAAGGCAGGACAGGTAAGCAATTATCAAGGTGCTAATGACTGATGGAATTTTAATTTGGTCCCTTTACCAAGTAACCCAGGTAGCTGTCAATGTCATTTTCTGAATCTTAGATGTTATATATTTTCAGACTGAAATAGGGTTACTAATGTTTAATTTTGTCAAATAAGAACATTAGAAATCTCTTCCACTAGTAACACCATTATTTTATACAGTCATGAGCCGCATAACAACATTTTGGTCAGTGACGAACACCATATACAACAGTGGTCTCATAATATTATAATGAAGCTAAAAGGTCCTATAACCTAGTGGTGTCATAAACATTGTGACATCACAGCTCAATGCATTATTCACATGTTTGCAGTAATGCTGGTGTAACAAACCTGCTCTGCTAGTCATGTAAAAGCATAGCATATACCGTTATGTGCAGTACATGCTACTTGATAATAAAAGACTGTATTACTGATGTATATATTTGCTACTATGTTACTGACTTGTATATTGACTATACTGTTACTGATTTGTATATTTGTATATTCATTACATAATGTGAACATTATTTTATCTACTTATTAAAAAAAAAGGTTGCTGTAAAACAGTATGTCATGTTACAGCAGAAGCAGCCTCAAACATCTCATGTTTACTGCATTATTTGTTCTGTACTTAATTTAATCTTGTGTTGTTTTGTTCGTCATGCCTCCTAAGTGTATAAAATCCACTGCTAATGTTGCCAGGAAGAGGCCACCTAGAGAGATTGACCTGGAAATGCAATTGAAGTGATTAAGGACTACGAAGGTGGAAAATCAGTGATGGTTATTGCTCATCAGTCGGGCATGTCCCATTCCACCATAGCTATCATCCTGAAGAACAAGAACAAGGTGATGGAAGCTGTTAAAGGATCTGTTCCATTGAAAGAAGCAAGACTAACAAAAACTAGAGAAGGGCCTATATCAGACATGGAGAAACTTCTAATGACCTGGATGGAAGACCAGGCACAGAAGCATATCTCTTTTAGCACCATGACAGTCACGGCCAAAGGAGAATGTCTGTTTGCGACGTTGGAAGAAAAGGCTGGACCCGACTATGATGTTGAATTTCCTGCTAGCTCTGTGTGATTTAAATGATTCAAGAATCATTATTCATTACATAATGTGAATGTAACTGGTGAGTCTGCGAGTGCCAATGTGAAGGTAGAAGCATGTTTGGGAATTCTAGATAAGCTGATTGTGGAGGAAATTACTTTCCAAACCAAATATTCAATAAAAATGAAACCTCCCTATTCTGGAAACAGATATCTAAAAGGACTTTTATCCATAAGGAGGCCAAGTCAGTGCCAGGTTTCAAGGCTTTTAAGGACTATTATTCTTCCGTGGGAACAATGTTGCAGGCTACAAATGGAAAACCCTTTGTGATCTGGCACAGTGAGAGTCACGGGACCTTCAAGCATACCAACAGGCACACACTGCCACTGTGCATTCTCTTCCAGAATGCCTTCCTGAATTGCTATGTTTGGAGAATAACATACCTTTCAAGATTTTGCTTATTGTTGGTAATGCTCCTGGATCTCTTCCTTTCATTGGTGATCTTCATCCCATATCAACACCACCTCTTTGATCCAATGAATAGACCAAGGAGTCATAGGAGCTTTGAAGGGCCTGGGGAGGATTTCCCCCCAGGCTACTGCTGCAGCTGAGGAAGACACTGAGAAAACACAGATGCAACTCTTGAAGGACTCAACATCTATGTCTTCATCAAGAACCTTGCTTCGAATTGGGGTGATATCACCAAGGAGTATATGAATGGCATCTGAAAGAAGAAATTCAAGAGGTTTGTCCCTGACTTCAAAGGATTTGCCAAGGGTGAGGAGGTTGTAAAAATCAGCAAAGCTGTGTTTGAGGTGGCAATCAACTTTAACCTGGGCGTGGATGAGGATGACATTGAGCTCCCAGAGGTGCTTCCTGAGGAAGTGACTAATGAGTTATTGGAACTGGAGCAGGAACACATAGATGAAGGAGTAAGAAAAAAGGAAACCAGGAGAAGAAAGAGAACCCCCAAGTAAATTCACAGCGAATGGTTTAACAGAAGCCTTACCAACCTCAACAAGCTCTTACAAAGTTTGAAAGCATGGACCCCAACATCGAAAAGTTTGCATTAATAGAGAGGAATGTTCATGATACGTTGTCTGCTTGCAAGCAAATCTGTGATGAAAAAAAAGAAACAAATCAAGCAAATTACCATGTGCATATTTCTGAAAGGAGGGACACTTCTTCAAGTAGAGACTCAGGCTGGTCCTTCAAGAGGGATTCTAGAAGAAGGCATTGTTATCACAGGAGATTACAGAAAATGTCTTTGGTGGGCAGAAAATTCACAAGATAATTTTGCACACTTGATTCTGTTTTATGGATTAGCACTTTACTCTTAACAATGTCTCCTAGAAGTTTTAATAATAAAAAGTGGAAGAAATTTCAGTTATTTGGATAATTGGAGTCTTTAATTAAACATTATTATTAGTTACCAGCTATATTATTATTACTCTCCCTTTCATGAACACATCAGTGTTCCTCCCTTCGAAATGAAGGGGAAAATCACTTTGTCTTTCCAAGCTAGGGAGGCAACAGACACTCCTAATCCTCCCAAAGTACTCAAACATGGATCTCCCTCTGTGGTTTTGTGAATGACAAGATCAAATGAAATATTTTCATATCATAGAATACATATGAAGACATAAGCACTCATAAAGTATTATGTGGCCAAAAATGAGAGACCCCATATTTTCCAATAGTATTATTTTAAATCCTTATTTCTGTTTGTCATATAAAGAAATATCTTGTGATGAGTTTTTATTTTTTTCTTAATGTTCATAAGCATTCAGAAAAGAAATGCTGAATTGGAATACTTCTGTGGATGGAAGAAAACAGCTCTAAAGAATATGTGAGTGTTTCTGAGTCAGTCAATGACCCAAGTCTCCATTGCTTTTCCTCAGTCCCCATGGCTGTCCTCCAGCTTCGTGTCAAACATGCCAATGAAACCTCACTGGGCATCATGTGGCAGACCCCTGTTGCAGAATGGGAAAAATACATCATTTCACTAGCGGACAGAAACCTCTTGCTCATCCACAAGTCACTCCCCAAAGATGCCAAAGAATTCACTTTTACTGACCTGGTGCCTGGACGAAAATACATAGCTACTGTCACCAGTATTAGTGGAGACTTAAAAAATTCATCTTCAACGAAAGGAAGAACAGGTAATATTCTTTATAAACTTTAGGCTTTAGAAGTATCCTGTCTGCTGAATTTTTTAACACTCAACTTATAAATGTTCACTAAATGCCTTTTATGTACTGGGAATTGATTTATGGATCCTTTCTGGTTTTTTGTTTTTTTATTTTTACTAATTTCAGCTCTTGTCTTTAATAGTTCCGTGTTTTGTTTTACTTTGAGCTTATTTTGCTAAAATTAAAACAGAGCAGAGAACAACATTTCCAAGGAGTTTTGCTGCAAAGGAGAGCAGAGAAATAGGGCAGCATCTGAAAGAGAAAGTATGTTTGAAAGGAGGATTATTTTTTAATGATAGAATAAAGGACAGCATATTTTAGAAGAAAGAGGAATGGTGAGGCTATACAGAGAGAGGGAAGAATTGTTGCCATTATTCTATGAATAAGCAAGAAGTATTGGGATCTATAGCACCAGTGAAAGACTAGGCTTTGGAAATGACATGAGTAGTAAAATTTGAGAGTCAAATGGGAAACAGAGAGTATATGGGTGCAGATACAGTAAATAGATGTAGTGGTAACAGTTATCTTTTGATAACTCTCATTTTCTAAGTGAAATAGGAAGCAAGGTCATCATCAAAGACATCCCGTTTCAATTTATATACTATTGTTGTCCTATATTTTATTTCTCTCTTCTTTTTTAACCTCACAAAAAAATGTAATTATTGTATCCTTGGATTGACCCACCAATTTACCAAATTTTTCTTCATCTTTTCCTCCTGTATCTCAAATTCCATCTTGTGTTACGTTTCTTCATCTTAGAGAACATCCTTCAAATTTCTTTACTGAGATGTTTACTGACAAACTCTCTACACTTTTGTTTTTCTGGGTATGTCTTTATATAGTTCTCCACTTTGAAAAATATTTTCCCTGGGTTATAATTTTGTTGAAAGTTATTTTCTTTCAGTACATTAAAGATATTATTTGAGTCTTTCTGAAATTTATTGTTGACATTAAAAAGTTAGCTGTCAATCTAATTTTTATTTCTCTATGTGTAATCTGCTTTCTATGATTGATTTTAAAATCTGCTCTTGGCCTTTGGTGTTCTGCTGTTCACAGTAATGATCTAAGTACAGACTTTTTGTTTATCCTTGCTTAAGATTATTGGGATTTCTATATTTGCAGATTAGTATCTTTCATCAATCCTGGAAATTCTCATCTATTAACTCTCTAATATTGCTCTTGCCTTTTCTCCATTCCCCCTCTGTGTCTCCTACTGGTATTCTAGAATATTATATATATACTAGTATTCTAGAATATTATATATATTTTTTTCATGTACTTGCTTTCTGGGCTGTAATCTGGTTAATTTCCTCAGCTCTTTGTTTTAGTTCATTAATTCTTTCTGTGTTTCTTTCTAAACTATTTTTAAGTCAACCCATTTTCTTTGATTCTCTTTAGTCATATTTCCATTCTCTTCCTTTATTGCTATAAGCTTATTAACACTTATTATTTTACATTTTATATCTGATAATTATTTGAAATCTTCAGAAGTGCACTTCTGTTGTCTATTGGGTTTGTTGCCTTTTGCTCATGGCACTTTATTTCCTTAAATATTTGTGACTTTTTTACTGTAAACTCACATACCTTAGGATTTTATTCTGTGGGAACTCTTTGATGCCTTGTTTGAAAGTGGATTTCAAAAAGAACTTTCTTTTCATTTGATTCTTTCAGGTACACAGGATTACTATCAACCCAGACCTATTTTAATCTAAATTGTTACCTTGAGATTTTTTGATCATCCAGGTCTTATGAATTTAAGTTGCAAGTTTACTGAAGCTGTCTTGAGGTTATGAATTCTCAGAGGAAAATTTTTCTTTTCCATCCACTGTTAAGGAGGTTGGGGTGATGTGGAGAGTAAAAAGGGAATATTTATTTTATTTACACTTAGAATGCAGCATTTCAGGATTCTAATGTTACTTACGAAGTTCCTCAGCCTGGGAAAGTCCTACACTTTGTCTCCTATTTTGTAGATCCTACAAAGCTATAAAGTCAAAGCTTAAATGTATGTTTAAAAGATGACTTCAGGATGAAAGTCTACTTCAGTTATCCAGTTACCTCTTTATAACTTACTTTTAAGTCTCTGAGAATTCCTTACATTCTTGACAACTCATTTATGCATTTACCTCTTTGTGTTTTATTCACTACATGTAGTTGTGTTGATTGGGGGGGAGGGGGAGGAGAGTCATCATCCTGTCAGAAATGGAAGTCCAAGACATTGTTTTAGACTTAGAATCATTTTAATTAAACCTACCACTGCCCTAGCTGGCTTGGCTCAGTGGATAGAGCATCAGCCTGCGGACTGAAGGGTCCCAGGTTCGATTCTGGCCAAGGGCACATGCCTGGGTTGTGGGCTCGATCCCCAGTAGGGGGTGTGCAGGAGGCAGCCAATCAATGATTCTCTCTCATCATTGATGTTTCTATCTCTCGCTCCTTCTCCCTTCTTCTCTGAAATCAATAAAGAAATATATTTAAAAAATAAATAAATAAATAAACCTACCACTTATAGTGCTGGATCATATGGTAAGTATATGTTTAACTTTGCAAGCAACTGTTTTCTGATGTGGTTGTAAAATTTTACAGCCCCACTAACAATGTATGAGATTTCCAGTTCCTCCTTATCCTCAGCAGATGTGTTTTAAAAAATGTTAACCATTCTAATAAGTATGTAGTGATATCTCATGTTTTCAATTTGCCTTTCCCTGATAACTAATAGTTTTGAGCATCTTTTCATACACTTATTTACCATCCATTTATCTTCTTTGGGGAAGAAGATAGTTTCAAATATTTTGTCCATGTTTATTTCTTATAATTGAGTTTTGAGAATTCTTTATTCCAGATATAAGCCCATGATCAGAAATATGCATTGAAATGTTCTCCCCCAGTCTGTGGTTTGTCTTTTCATTAATTTATTAGTGTATTTTACAGAATATACATTTTTTATTTTCATGTCTAATTTATAAGGTTTTTTTCATAGATCATGCTTTTGATATCATATCTAAGAAATTTTTGCTTTGCTTAAGATAAAGTCACAAAGATTTTCTCCTAAAAGTTTTTATAGTTTTAGGTTTTAAATTTAGATATGTAATTTCTTTTGAGTTAAATTTTATATGTGTGTGAGATACGGGTCAATGTTTAATTTTTTTGCATATGAACATCTAATAATTTCAGCCCTATTTATTAAAAGACTGTCTTTTTTCTACTTAATTGCCCTTGAATCTCTGTAAAAAATCAATTGTCTATACATGTGTTGTTCTATTTCTGGACTCTCAATTCTGTTCTATTGATCTATGTGTCTGTCCTTTTGCCAGTATCACACTGTCTTCATTACTGTCGCTTTCTAGTAAGTCTTGACATTAGATGATGTTAGTCCTCCATTCTTGTTCTTCTTTTTCAAAATTGTTTTGACATATTAATTCCTTTGCTTTACACATGAAATTTGGAATTAAAATGGAATTTTCTGATCATGTATATTAATGTTTTTTCCAGCTTTATTGAAAAATAATTGGTATACATTACTAAGTTTATGGCATATAGTGTGATGGATTGATTTACATATATTATGAAGTGTTTACCACAATAAGTTCAGCTAACATCCATCTTCTTCTGTAGATACAATACAAAGGAAAAATATATTCTCCTTGTGATGAGAACTCATAGAATTTACTCTCATCAAACTTCCTATATATTATATAGAAGTGTTAGCTATCGCATTCATATTGTACTTCCCTAGTATTTGTTTATCTTGTAACTGGAAATTTGTACCTTTTGACCATCTTTGTCCAAAATAATATTGTTTAATAAATATGTTTGTATCTGAATCCAAAAGTCAAAGAATCCTGAGAAGAGTTGTGCCAGGGTCAATTGCTTTGATTATCATAATTCAGGGAAGAGGCACAGAGAAGATGTATGTTGATTAAGTGCCAACTTCAAGATTTGTCAATGGATAGACTAGAAATCACAGTAGGTACCAATTAGGAAAAGAGCTCAGGTTCACAGGTTAGACAGATCAGGATTTGAACCCCAAATTATTTGCTAACACTGTAATATAGACTAAATTACTTACATTTTATGATCTTTGGTTTCCTCCTCAGTAAAGGGAATAATAAAATGAACTTAATAGAGTTTTGAGTATCACACAATATAATCTCTATAAAGCATAGAGCCCATAACTGGCACACAGCAGACACTCAGTAGGTATTATTATTATATGACAGTATAATTTATATTATTGTAACATTTTCATGTATACTAATAAAAGTTCTCTTGAGAATGTGCCAGTAAAGAATTAACCAGTTTTCTAAACTACAACCTAATCATCAAGTTGAAGGGATTTCCCAATACCAGCTATAACAACCATCAGCTCAGGTAGATGATGTGTCTTTCAGTTCTAATAGGATAAGGGCAGATAAATATCACATTAAGTAAGCAATCTTCAAAAGCAGCAGCCTTTCATTATTGAAAGTTTTAAATCAAAACTGTTTAATAAGCATGATGTCATCTCATCTTTGGATCCAAAATAATTTTGATTTCCCACATAGGCAGCTTTTTCGTAATAGTAGAGTCTCTGTGGGGGAGTAGTTTGCCATATGCCACAGGAAATAGAGCTGAGAGTCTATAACAAATATATATATATATATATCCTATATATATATATATATATATATATACACATATAGATAGTTAGATAGATAGATAGATAGATAGATAGATAGATATAGATATAGATACACATCTTCAAAACTGTCTCCATATTTTACTTATTTTTATTACACTCCTTAGGGTGACTAAATGTCATCTGTTTTTTCCTCTCTCTGTCTACTGTGTTTTAGTGCCTGCCCAAGTGACTGGCTTGCATGTGGCCAACCAAGGGACAACCAGCAGCCTATTTACTAACTGGACCCAGGCAGCGGGAGACATAGAGTTCTACCAAGTCTTACTCATCCATGAAAATGTGGTCATCAAAAATGAAAGTGTCTCCAGTGAGACTAGCACATACAGCTTCCACTCCCTCAAATCAGGCAGTCTCTACTCCGTGGTGGTAACAACAGTAAGCGGAGGGATCTCTTCCCGACAAGTGGTGGTGGAAGGAAGGACAGGTAAGAAGAGCACATGGACCTCCAGAGTTCCATTTTTAAAACATTCTATAGACAGGTTAATTTCTGATCTTCCTAAAAGCCAAGTCTTGGTACCATCCAGAAGGTAGATGTTGCTCTTCCAGGAATGAAAATGGAGGGCGGGGGGGGATGAGGGTAGGAGACAGTGAATTCTAAATTTTCTAAAATCTCCAATAAGTGACAGAACTCAGAAAAACCTTTGTGATGACATGATAGTCATTTGATCCAAATCTCATCCATTATACATGATGAATTGATATTGACAGTTATATGAAAACTAGAGGCCTGGTGCATGAATTCGTGCACAGGTGGGTCCCTCGGCCTGGCTGGCAATTGGGGCTGTCTCGCCCAGTCCCGATCAGGGCCAATCGGGCCTAGCCGGCGGGGGGAGGTGCTGCAGGAGGTTGGCTGGCCATGGGAGGTTAGCTGTGGGAGCACACTGATCACCAGAGGGTAGCTCCTGCATTGAGCGTCTGCCCCCTGGTGGTTAGTGCGTGTCATAGTGACCAGTCAACCGGTCATTTGGTTGACTAGTCTTAACAGTCACTTAGGCTTTTATATATATAGAATATTTAGCTGAAGTTAATCAACTGATGATGAAAACAGTCATGCAATTTGTATATACTATAGGACTTTATTATGATAGCCATCAAGGGCAATACTATTTACTATGCACTAATTTCTGACACAATACCACAGTTATTAATTTGCAAACTACTTCTAGCCAGGGAACTTCTGAAGGGTATCCATATCTTTTCCATTTTGTACACTTGGCAGATCATAAGCTCTCAGTGAATGTCTGTGGCACTCAGCCCAATTAAAATAAGTCAATGATTATGGTTGACATCAGAAAGGCTGTTCTCACCACAATAGCTCTTTCTGACCACAGCTGGTCCAATCGCCAGACTTGATTCCAAGAGAGGATTCTAGGTTTGTTTGTTTTTGCCACTAGAGGGCAGGAAATGCTTTGCAAAGAGGGAAAAAAAAAAACACCTCTGGTTGTGTTAGTTATTAGACTCCCCAGGAATAAATAAATTCATTGCAAGAAGATCAAAGCTATGCTCAAGTCTAAGCTTTCTAGAAAAGCTATTGCATTCTTTACCATTTCACTCAGTCATCATTATTGATGAGTTTGATTCAAACACTTTTATTTGGATTGTTAGGATGTTTGTTCCCGTTTCTACATAGGGGACGTCCTGACACATTTACATCAAAATGCCTCCACTTAAAATACTTTATGAACAGCTACACCATAAAAAATGCAGTAGGGCCAAACCAGCCGGCCTGTGCGGCTCAGTGGTTGAGTGTTGACCTATGAACCAAGAGGTCATGGTTCAATTCCTGGTCAGGGCACATGCCAGGGTTGCAGGCTTACTAGCATCCGAAAGGCCTCCTTGCATTTTCATTTTGATTTGCCTTCTGATATGAGAGCACTCATAGCATGTCTTGACCTCTTTCTTATAATCAGATTTGATCTCCTGAGTTCACACTGTTTTTTGTGACCATGATAAATCACTCAAACTTTTTTGATTGTGCTTTTCTTTTAAAAATATTCTCCCCCTTTTACAATCCTAGTCCCTTCCAGTGTGAGTGGAGTAACGGTAAACAATTCTGGTCGCAATGACTACCTCAGCATATCCTGGCTGCCAGCTCCTGGAGATGTGGATAACTATGTAGTGACTCTGTCTCATGGTGGCAAGGTGGTTCAGTCCCTCATTATTGCCAAGTCCGTCAGCGAATGCTCCTTCAGCTCCCTCACCCCTGGCCGCCTCTACGATGTGACCATAACCACAAGGAGTGGAAAGTATGAAAATCATTCCTTCAGCCAAGATCGGACCGGTAAGTCTATGAGAAGGTACAGGTTCTAAAAGAGCCAGCTTACCATGTGGCTCAAACATCTTAGATCTGCTGTATTTCTGTAATCCTAGGAGAAAAGGCCACTGAGGTCAGAAAATTGTTACAGAGTCATCATATTTTGACCCAGGAAACCCCTATGTGAGGAGAAATTACCATCAGAGTAAGATGAACAATACTTTATGGCTAGAATTCATATTATATTCAAACACAGTAACAAGTTTTTCTGTTTAGAGAGTACTTTTTGGTTGCTAGACCCTGGCTTTATATTTGTTAACTACCTTAACCCTTAAAAATTCTTTGTTGAGGTAATAGTTGTTATTATTACTCCCATTTTATTTATTTTTTATTTTGTTGTTGTTAAGCCTCACCCGAGGGTATTTTTCCCCACTGATTTTTAGAGAGAGTGGAAGGGAGGGGGAGAGACACAGAGAGAGAAACATCAATGTGAGAGAGACACATTGATTGGTTGCCTCTTGCACACACCAGGGATGGAGCTGCAACCGAGGTACATGCCCTTGACCAGAACCAGACCCGCGACCATTCAGTCCAAGGGCTGAAGCTCTAACCTCTGAGCCAAACCGGATAGGGCTATTACTCTCATTTTAGAGATCAGGAAACCAAAATTAAGGTTAAGTAACTTGACTACTGTTTAACTTGTTGACTAGCCAGTGCATTTAAAATCCTAGATTTAAACCCAGTTCTGAATGACTCCAGAGCCTACTAACTTCTTTTTTTTTTTAAATTTAGATTCTTTATTATTCAAAGTATTATTTATGTCTTTTTTCCCCCATTGATCCCTCCCTGGCTGCTCCCACCCCCCAGCGCATGCCCTCAACCCCTACTGTCTATGTCCATTGCTTATGCTTATATGCATGCATACAAGTCCATTGGTTGATCTCTTACGCGCCCCCCCACCCCGAAACTCCCACCCTCCCCTGCCTTCCTTCTGAGGTTTGAAGGTCTGTTCGATACTTCTATATCTCTGAATCTATTTTGTTCATCAGTTTATGTTGTTCATTATATTCCACAAATGAGTGAGATCATGTGATATTTATCTTTCTCTACTACGTTTTTCATCCTGAAATCCTTCCTGAAATGTCTGTTGGTCAAGTCTACTGTTCATCTTTTTTTACACAGGATAAAAATGTGAACCTTCATAGTTCTGGGACCAGGAACAAAATCTTAGCAAAGGCAATGAATGCCAGGTCTCCGGTGTGCTGGAAAGAACTAAATTTAGACAGCTAGCATTTCCCCAATATACTTTTTTTTTGGAGAATAGTTTGTTGATTTTTAGAGAGGAAGGGAGAGGGAGAGAGAGAGAGAAACATCGATGTGAGAACATAGCATCAATTGGCTGCCTCCTGCAGGCCCCCTACTGGGAATTAAACCTGCAACCCAGGCATGTGCCCTGACCGGAAATCGAACCAGCAACATTTTGGTGCAGGGGCCGATGCCAAACAACTGAGCCACATGGGCTAGGGCTTCCTGGGGTTTACATCTGCGATTTCTGCTTAAGGTTGACATTAATATTTGTCAAACCCTGCTGAGCTATGGGTTGATATTTTCATTTTAAAATGTCGATTTTCTATGCGGATCTGGAACAACTAACAACATCCTATGACTTCACACGTGGTCTGAATCTAGTAGGCACTCAAATCTTTGATGAATCAGAATTCACTTAGATCAAGGATTTTCACCTAGTGCTCCATGGGTAGACTTTAGTAATGCAGTAATCCCAGAAATTGTCCCTGAAGTTGTTGGGGATAGGGAAGGTATGTACTTTTGGGGGGGAGTGCATGGTTTCTTTCAGATTCTCATAGTTTCTGTGACCTCAAAAAGGATCAAGAACCACTGATTTACATTGTTACATCATGCTAGCTTTGAAAGTGTTCGTAGAACAATCTAATCCTGTCTCCATTGGAAATAAAGTCCCAGAGAGAAACTGGCTTCTCCATAGTCACATGGTTGACCAGTAGTCAAGTTCAACCTGCCTCCAGCACTATTTCCATTACATCTTGTGATCCCTGAAAGCACTAGTCAGGGATATAGAGATATTCCCTACCCTCAAATGATTTAAAATCTAAATATACTGATAATCCCAATAATGTCTTAAATCTGTAAAAGCAGATTTCCATTTACAAAGCAGCCTGATATCAGTGTCTTATGTTAATCAACTTGGAGCCTAAAAAATCACCAAAAATTAAAGGGTATGCCAACCAACTACAGTACTGACTCCTTGCTTCCCCTCAGCGTCAACTCATGAATGTTTCCTGTGCATCTGACCTTTACATTGCAAGGCCTTTTGCTAAGATTGTTTTTAAACACAAGAAAAGTGATTCTTTTTTCAAAGCACCCTCTTGAAAAAAGAGGGTGCTTCACCAGCATGAACTTGGATTTGGTGCACGACTAATCGAGGCAAACCATTAACCCTGACAAATCAGTTCAACTGGAGAGTCATGTCTGAGCTACTGTCTTGTTAATTTGGGCTGATTGTCTCAATGTTCTTTTCCTTTTCTAATGTTCTTGTTCTACATTTCGGATGAAAATATCAATATTTCTAATTCTGTATCACATCACCTCACCGTGCAGCAAGGCGAGTCTCACACATTACCTCCAGTTCCACCTGGAGAGCCCCTTATTGCCTTAGCATGGTATTCAGCTTGGTGTTTCTTTCGATAATAGTTGCTTTGCCTTCAAGAAATTGCTTGGATCATTGACCTTTCTTAACCCATGCATTCAACATCACTTCAGAATTTCTCCTCCTTAACTCTGTGATAACTAAATTCCAGCAACACTGTCATTGGTCCAAGGTAAATATCTTGAAAAAAGCATGCCTGTCCTTGCTCCATATCTGTGGTGAGATTTATGCCAATACAAAAACTAACCAGTACACATAAGCCAACAAAGGATAGTAGTGCAACTTGTAGGTGTGAGAAACATCATGAAAAATGTAGCTTAGATGCCAAAATACTGACATTTAATACCTCTCTCTCACACAAGTGGAAGAGAAGACTTGGACGTAGGCTGGGCGTGTGGCCAGAGCAGAAATCCCTGATTTACCAAACACAGACAGAGGCCACACAGACCTAAAAGACATGCTAGTGTTGGGATACAAGTTCAGTACTCTGGATCTTCGTTCATACCTCTTTCCAGTGCTCCTTCTCATATATTGATAATATCCAGTTATAGCCACATAGTAATGACCTACTGTTGAATTAAAATACAGTCCCAAAGGATAAATTAGAATACTCTTAATATTATGCTCTAAATACAGATTTTAAAGTGTTCCTGTTAACAAGTATTGATTGATTGACCAATTGAGAAAAAACCCACAGGTACACAGAATTGTATTTTTGTTTATATATTTATGGGGGTGGGGAGGAAATCTCAGGTGCACAAAATTGGATTAATCATAATTCTTGGTTCTTATTTTTAGGCATTTAACTTAATTTAGATAAAAATCTTAATAAGTTGCCGAAACCGGTTTGGCTCAGTGGATTGAGAGTCGGCCTGCGGACTGAAAGGTCCCAGGTTCGATTCCGGTCAAGGGCATGTACCTTGGTTGTGGGCACATTCCCAGTGGGAGATGTGCAGGAGGCAGCTGATCGATGTTTCTCTCTCATCGGTGTTTCTAACTCTCTATCTCTCTCCCTTCCTCTCTGTAAAAAAATCAATAAAATATATATTTTAAAAAAATCTTAATAAGTTAATATGTACCTAAGATACCACGATCCAAAATAAAAACTAGGAACCTGACACTAATCTATGTCAGATAAGGTGGTTCCCACTTCACTAGTCCATCCCAAGGTAACCATCAATTTGACTCCAATTTTCATCTCTTTCTTGCTTCCTACCTTGCATATTTTATTATTTGTTATCCTAAAATTATAGGTTTTAACATTTTCAGTTGTTTTAACATAAAAATGTATATTTTATGAAGTATATAATCTTTTGGGACTTAGGTCTTTTTAAGTTAATAGTATATTGATAAGAGTCATTCAGATTTTGTGTTTTAATGCTAAGATCAATAAATCTATATTTTTGTGTTTTGAGTTAAGAATAAACTAATTATGACCACCATATACCAGTTCATTCAGCTAATCTCCTGTGGATGGGCATTCTCTCTCACATTTGGTTTTATCAGGCTTTTTAATTTTACCGATCAAATCTATTTAAGATATATTTTTCCATGGCCCGGACTTATATTTCCTTGATCACCAATGATGTTGAACATATCTTCATGTATTAATTAATCATATGTGTTTCCTCTTCCACTTTTCTTTTGGATTGTTTATATTCTTCTTGGTGACTTTTTATCATGTCTTGAATCACCAAGGTATGTTGGAATTACTAATACCATCACCATCATTCATATTAATAATCAGTTATCATGTTTAATGTTCTATTTTGTACATGACATTTTCTGTAGGCTAAAAACAGGATTAGGATTAATTCATCAGATTCTTTTTTTAAAAATCCATTTAATCATTCCAACGATTATAACAGTCTTTTCCTTTCAGAAATGTGTGGTTTAAAGGTCTAAGACTTTTATTTAAAATGCACACAATAAAAAATCTCCTCTCTTTTTCATGTCGTCCCAGGTTGTCATCTGTGATCAATTGCTCACTAAGAATCAGTAAATCTTGAGCAGTTCTCTGTTCTGTTTTCAGTGCCTGACAAGGTCCAAGGAGTCAGTATTAGCAACTCGGCCAGGAGTGACTACTTAAAGGTATCCTGGGTGCATGCCACTGGAGACTTGGATCACTATGAAGTCACCATTAAAAACAAAAACAACTTCATTCAAACGAAAAGCATCCCCAAGTCTGAAAATGAGTGTGTATTTGTTAAGCTAGTTCCTGGACGGTTGTACAGTGTCACTGTTAGTACAAAAAGTGGGCAATATGAAGCCAGCGAACAAGGGAATGGGAGAACAAGTAAGTGGAAAGATTGCAAAATTTGATGGTCGGTTGGGTCTTGAAGGTTACTGAGTAAATAATTTATCTGAACCTTGAATTTTCTCTACTTAGTTATCAGTAAATTACATTCCCAGTAAGTCTCACTCAGAACTAACATCGTTTAGCCCAGCCATGGCCTACAATTATAGGATATTTATTGGGAGATAAAAGCAAATATACTTGGCAAGCAAGAAGGCCAAATGCCCCATTTTTCTTCTCTGTCCTCTTGCATTGTGCATTGTGACATTTAAAGTTCTGTACGTTTTGTTTTATCTTATGATTGAGATCATAACTCATTTTACAATTAGATTCCACCAACATTTAGCATATAAGATTTATATCAGGAAAATAACTACAATTTTAGCAGTTGATTTTCAATTTTTCTTGTTTAATTACGCATGAAGTAATTTAAGTGACTTATGTGGGGAAGAGAGATGTTTGCCAGTTCCTTGAATGTGATTCATAAATTATTGTGTAGGTAAACTTTGATCAGTCACTTTCCTGAAGTGTCTTCTAATACTCCTCCCTAGTCCCAGAGCCTGTTAAGGATCTAACATTGCGGAATAGGAGCACTGAAGACCTTCTCGTGACTTGGTCACGAGCTGATGGGGATGTCGACCAGTATGAGATCCAGCTGCTCTTCAATGACATGAAATTACTTCCTTCTTTTCACCTTGGAAATACTGCAACCGAGTATCGCTTCACCTCCCTAATACCCGGGCGCCGGTATAAAATTCTCGTGTTGACGATCAGTGGAGATGTACATCAGTCAGCCTTCATCGAGGGCTTCACGGGTAATTGGAAATATGGATCTTGAACCTGACCAGTTATAGCAGTATGCAGTTGGCCCTTGAACAACATAGGTTTGAACTACGTGGATCCATTTATATGCAGATTTTTTTCAATAAATATGTTGGAATTTTTTTTTATTTTCTTACTACCATGAAGCAGTGATATCTGTTATTCTAGGCTACCATAAAACCATCATATTTCTGCTTCTTCATTATCAGTGAATGAATCATTACACCTGTAAATAATATTATTTTTTCACATTATTTTCTCATTTCTGATGTCTATTCTTAGTAGTATGTATAACATTTACAGTGTATTGTGTCACATAAGACAGTATTGATGTAGGTACTGACAAATAGACAATTCATCTTGTAAACAGATGGCATAAACTTACAGTATCGATACATACAGTAAGTACTATAAAGGTATTTTATTTTCCTTACAACTTTCTTAATATTTTTCTCTAGCTTACTTTATTATAATAATATAGTATATAATACATATGACATACAAAATATGAGCTAATCAACTGCTTATGTTATTGGTAAGACTTCCAATGAATAATAGGCTACTAGCAGTTAAGTTTTGGGGAAATGAAAAGTTATATGCACACTTTCAGCTGCATAAGAAAGGGGGAGTGTCTGCCCCTAACCCCTACCTTGTTCAAGGGTCAACTGTACTGGTAAGTGTAAATATCTCTGTTGCTTGGGTATCACTTCTTTGGAACTTTATTAGTAGTGTTGCTATAATAGTTAATGTTTATTAACAGTTTTCCATAAACCAGACCCACAGCAAAACACTTTACACATACATTCTGTTTAATCCTCACAACTTTATGGGATGGTTGCTATTATTATCATTACCATTTTTCTGATGAGGAAACAAACTTACAGAGGTTAAGCAATTTGCCTGTAGTCCCACAGCTGGTGAATGAGAAAACCAAGACTTGGACCAAGGCAGTCTAACCCCTTGCTCTATTACTGGCACCGTTCACTTCTCCTCACTGGCTGAGATGCCACTCTAAACTTCCCTCATTAACTTCAGTTCAGGCAGAAGAGTCAGAGAAAGTGGATAAATTGATACCAGTTTTTTCTATGTGTATCCTTTCAGTAGATGCCAGAACATAAGAAGCACAAAAACTTTGGTTGAAATTCCCACAGTTCATTCTCTAAGTGATGATATTTAAATTTATTTTCTTTTTCAGTTCCTAGCACTGTTAAAAATATTCACGTCTCTCCCAATGGGGCGACAGATAGCCTGACAGTGAACTGGACTCCTGGTGAGGGCGATGTTGATTCCTACACAGTGTCCGCATTTAGGCAGAACCAAAAGGTGGAATCTCAGACTATCCCCAAGCACATCTCCGAGCACACGTTCCACAGACTGGAGGCTGGGGAGCAGTACCAGATTGTGGTTGCCTCGGTCAGCGGGTCCCTGAGGAACCAGATAGATGCGCTCGGCCGGACAGGTAAGCATCCACCTGGAGAAGGGCCAAATTGGTCTCCATAATGGGACAATGATGTGCTTAGTTACTCACAAATCAAAAATACCCAAATTTAAAGCCACCTAAATTTGTACAATTCAATATGGTTTTAAGAGCGTTTCTCATATTTCTTTGCATTTTTCTTTCTTAATGGAGATTTTCAAAAGAAATGAAATGTAATTAGGAACCAAATCATTTGAATAAATTTTTAACTTGTTAAAGGCTTTAAAATTTTAACAAGCAGACTTCTATAATTATGCATTTTTCAAAATATTATCACTTTCTCAAAATTCTTTTTTAAGAAAAAAAATGTTCCTATACCATCTACTTCACTTGTGATAGCTAAAGAACAAGTAATAAATCAATGAATAATGTATATGTTTACTTATATTACTATCACTATTAATATATTACTTTCAAAACAAAAATCATCTGCAAGCACCTGCTACATGCCAGACATCTATACTAATAAAAGGGTAATATGCTAATTAGTGTGGATGTCTTCCGGGCGTCCATCCAGACAAAGACACAGCAGCTGCGAGCCCCAGGGCTCAGGCAGCCGAGGGCTCACAGTAGCCGTGGGCTCACGGAAGCCGTGGGCTCAGGCAGCTGTGGGCTCAGGCAACCATGAGCCCCAGCGGCTGCGAGGCCCGGGATTCAGGCCTTGCAACCACTGCAGCCAGCAGTGGCAGCAGCAGCGGGGTGATGGGGGCAGCACCTTCCCCTGATCAGCCCGGTTGCCTCCTGCAGAGGGAGGCCAGTCTGCGGCTGTAGTAGGACATCCCCTGAGGGCTCCCAGACTGTGAGAGGGGCCAGGCCAGGCTGAGGGACCCCCGCCCCCGTGCACAAATTTTTGTGCACTGAGCCTCTAGTATATATATATAAACCTAAGCGACTGTTACAGCTGAACAACCAGAACGACTGGTCAACCAGTCACTATGATGCGCACTGACCACCAGGGGGCAGACACTCAATGCAGGAGCTGCCCCCTGGTTGTCAGTGCACTCCCACAGCCAACCTCCTGTGGCCCCTCCCCTACAGCCAGCCAACCTCCTATAGCCCCTCCCCCTGGACCCCAATCAAGGGGCCGGCTGGCCAACCTCCCACGGTCTCTACCCCCTGCCAGTTGGCCTCCCCAATAGGCCCTGATTGGGGGGCTGGCCATCCAACTTCCCGGGGTCCCTCCCCCGGCTGGCCGACCCCCTGATAGGCCTCGATCACCAGCCAGGCCAAGGGACCCTACCCATGCACAAATTCGTGCACCAGGCCTCTAGTTTAAAATTATCTCTAGTCACACTACCTGGTAGAGGATCATCATCTCTACTTTAACAATAAGGAAAGTAAGGCTAGAAAGTTTATGAAACATTATCTAGATACATGTAATAAGGTCTGGAGTTACTAGTATATTTCAAATCTAGATCTGTCTGTCTCCAAACTTCATGTTCTCTCTACTGTGACACAATACTTCTTAGGTGTCTTCCTTTCTCATAACCATTTATTTAGTTGTGGGGCTTGAGCCTTACTATGTCTCCAATTGACATATTTCCCACCATGTGTCAATCACTGTGCTAGAAAATGAGAATTCAGTAGCAAGATAATGCTTCTGACCTCAAGAAACTTATAACCTATTGAAGGAGACCAAGAAGTAAAAAGGCAATGACAGTATACCATGGTAAGTGCTAAAATAAAAATGAATATGGTGTACTATAGGAGCAAACAGAAAGAGTCAGGGAGGAAGTAATAGTTAAACAGATACTAAGAAGTCATCCTGATGAAGCAGAAACCTTGGCACATTGGGGACCCTTACACTGTTTAGTATGCTAGAATAAAGAATGTGAGCCATGTGGCCAAGGAAGTAGACAAATCAAATTGTAAAGAGCCTTGTATGCCTTATGAAGGTGTTTAGAATTATGGAGAGCCATTGAAGTGTCATCAGCATGGATGTACTATGAGAATATGCCTGATACACATGTAGTTTGAAACTGAGAGGTAAGGAATCAAAGGGACTGGTCAAGTAACTTGTAATAATATATGAGAGAGATGATATTGTCTTAGGGTAGTGGTAACAGACAAGGTGAGAAGTAGAGAGATCCAAGAGAAATAAGATTTAGGAGACAGAAATTATAAGATTAATGATTAATTATATGTAGAAGGGTAAGAGTTTCTGACTTAGATCAAGAGATAGAATCAAAGGACAGTAAGGAAATTATGGGAGGGAGATGAGGAGTCCAATTTGGGCATCTTGAGAGTTGGACATTTGTGAAACATCTAGAGAGAGATGTCATTTGCAAAAATAGAAGACAGGTCTGAAATATGAGCCTAGGACAAAAAATATTATTAACAAATAACACTATTTTTCCTTTCACATCAAGAGCCGTAGTACAAACACTATTATATACTATTGCTTAAGTCAAGGCTTGAAGCTTTGACTTGAGTTATTTGGGAATAAAAGTCCAAACAAGCAACTACATATTCCAAACTATATTCATTGAATGTAAATTTGTTCAGCATTCTTGCACTCTCTAGAAAAATACATATACATCATTCTGAATATTTATCAGTGTCACTTCTATGAATTATTCTACTTGTTTGACTTCAAGAACCTGTCTAAATTCAGAGAAAAAAATGAAAAATCAAAGCAATCCTACAGGTAATTCAGGACAAGAAATATTTTCTTCTAAGGGCACATGGAAAGTGTCAATGCAATAATGAGGCATCACCTTCCATCTGCAGTTGCTTTAGGAGACATTTTCTCAACTGGTTACTTTATCCTAAATGATGAAACCTGTTTCTTTTCTTCCTTTGCAGTCCCAGCATCTGTCCAGGGAATAATTGCAGACAATGTATACAGCAGTCATTCCTTAATAGTAAGTTGGCAAAAAGCCGTTGGCATGGCAGAAAGATATGATATCCTACTTCTAAATGAAAATGGGATTCTTCTGAGTAACACATCAAAACCAGCCACCACGAAGCAGCACAAATTTGAAGACCTGACACCAGGAAAGAAATACAAGATACAGATCCTCACTGTCAGCGGAGGCCTCTTTAGCAAGGAAGCCCAGACGGAAGGCCGAACAGGTAATTCACACAGCCTGCTGTTTTGTGTGAGATATCTCCTTGTCTGCTATTCCTTGGGAACAGTAGCCTCAGAGGGATGAAGCAACATGGGGAGATCACATATATTTCTTGACACTGTAAGAATGGAGACTTGATTGTCCATGTCCACGTCAGCTGGCCTGTGGACACAACTTTCAGCCCGCCGTACTCCAATTTAGATTTTTCATGAAAACTGTCTCTATTAGTTCCCTATGGCTGCTAGGGTAAATTACCACAAATTTAGCATCTTAAAACAACATCAACTTACTATATTATAGCTCTGGCGGTCGGAATCTGAAGATGGGTCTTATGGGGCTGAAATCAAGGTGTTAGCAGGGTTGTGTTTCTTCTATAGACTTTAGGGGAGAATCTATTCCTGCCCTTATCTCTTCTAGAGGTCACTCAGGTTCCTTGGCTCCTGGCTCCCTTCCAGCAGTGGTAATACCCCAACCTCTGTGCCTGTCACCAGATCTCCTTCTTTACTCTTCTGCCTCCCTCTTCCATATTTGACTCTTGGGATTACATTGGTCACCACCCAGATAACCCAGGATAAGCTCTCCATCTCAAGATCCTTAATTTAATCACATTCAGAAAGTCCCTTTGGCCTGTCAGAGGAAAAAGAGGTCAGTATAGCTGGAGAAGAGTGAGTGATAACACAGTGAGGCATGTAGTCAGAAAGGTAACTGGGGTCAAGAAACGATCACAGTTGTAGAAATCCTAAGGGTCAAAAGCTAAACTAATGCAAGGAGGCTGATGAAGAACAGTAGATATAGTCAAGAAATATTTCTACATGAGGTAAGATGGTACTTGGTGGCTAAGTGGAGTGCAGATGGAGGAACAGGAGATTCTGGAGTTCCTACCTGGCATGTTTGGTAGAATATAGGCCAGTGATGGCGAACCTTTTGAGCTCGGCATGCCAGCATTTTGAAAAACCCTAACTTAACTCTGGTGCCGTGTCACATATAGAAATTTTTTGGTATTTGCAACCATAGTAAAACAAAGATTTATATTTTTTATATTTATTTTATATATTTAAATGCCATTTAACAAAGAAAAATCAACCAAAAAAATGAGTTCGCGTGTCACCTCTGACACGCATGTCATAGGTTCACCATCACTGATTTATAGGCCGTGAATTTAGATGAGAGAAGCAGAAAGAGGGAGTTCCAAGGAGGAATATACAGGATTCCGTTTTGGACTGAGTTTGAGATGTCTGAATGACTTTCATAGGGAGGTGATTATTGGTAATTGAAAATATGGGTCCCAGCTCAGAAAAGTGAGAGATAGAGATTTGGATAAAAATTCTAATTAAATCCATATCTTAGTCTGTTCAAGCTGCTATAACAAAAATACCATAATCTGACTGGCTTAAACAACAAATACTTCTTTCTCACAGTTCTGGAGGCTGGAAGTCTGAGATCAAGGCACCAGTAGATTGGGTATCTGGTGAGGGCTCGCTTTCTGGTTTATAGATGGCACTTTCTCATTGTGTCCTCACATGATGAAAAGAGGAGAGAGCTCTCTGGGGCCTCTTTTTAGGGCACTAATTCTGTTCATGTGGGCATCACCCTCATGACCTCATCATCTCCCAATGGCTCTACCTCTTAATACCATCACCTTGGGGGTTAGGTTTCAACATACGACTTTGGGGGAACACAAACATTCAGACCATAGTAATTCATAAAGTGAATGAGGATGATTGCTTAGCTATTGTTATAAGATATGAAGGGGATAGAGGATAGAACCATGGACAGCACCAACTTTTAAGTGCCTGACATAAGGAGAAAAAGGAAGCAAAAGAGCCTGAGAAGGTGTTTGCTGTGGAGGGAAAAGAACTCAGGAAAGACTGAGACAAATGTCCTGGTCTGTTTCCACCTGCATCTGAAGACTTCTGTGGAATCAGGAAGCATCTGCGCCAACAGTGTCAAAGCTGGTGACTTCTGTTGGCATTTGATTGCTTTCACCAACAGGTAGCACTAAATGGGATTGCAAAATCCTAATGTAAACTTTTAAAGAAAAAATAGTTTGGACTTTCCTCTTGCTTCTCTTTCCTCTTGCTTCTCTTTCCTCTTGCTTCTCTTACCTCTCCCTTTCTTTCCCACCAGTCTTTCTTCCCCACAATCCTTCCCTCTCATGGTCATTTCCTAGCTCTCAGACGGCATTCAGAGACAGTTTTTGTTTTGTTTTGTTTTTAGCTCTGATATAGCTCTTAAAATTAGAAAGACATTTAGTCACACAGGTCAGATTAACATTTATTATATACCCCCTCCCTTAAAAAATATATTTGAAGATACTTTCCCATTACTGATTTTCCTTCTTCTTTTGTGGTTTTGTTTTTAAAATGAACAGTTTCAGCATCAATAATTAGATGTATGTATTTACTTTAATGTCTCCATGAAGTCACTATTTGTTAAGGGCAGGAACCATGTGTTTTGAACTATTGCTTGAGTGAACCCATCTAGGTGCCACGCTAGGCTGTGTCAGGGACATGCCAAAACTCAATCTCACTCTCTTGCTCCTCGACTTTTCCAGTGCCAGCAGCTGTCACCAACCTGAGGATCACAGAGAACTCCACCAGACACCTGTCCTTCACCTGGACCACCTCAGAGGGAGAGCTCAACTGGTACAACATCTTTCTGTACAACCCAGATCGAACTCTTCAGGACAGAGCTCAAGTTGACCCACAAGTCCAGAGCTTTTCTTTCCAGAACTTACTGCAAGGTCGAATGTACAAAATGGTGATAGTAACTCACAGTGGGGAGCTGTCTAATGAGTCTTTCATATCCGGAAGAACAGGTAAGACCGGGATCCACGCACTAAGGAATAGCAGGGAATTTATCACAATAGTCGCTATTCTACCCAGGATATAACTTTATATGAAATTTGTGACCTTCAGGCTTTCTGACCCTAAGTCAGACCTTTGATTGTAGTTTTTGCACTGCCTTCTGCTCTGTTGCTTCCACTTGTTTACCTCATAGGTTAATGAAAAAATGAATCTCGTTCCTCTACTTTCATGAGGGTTATTTATAATCCAAGCTCTGCCCTTATTCTTTCTACAAGACATAGATGGAGTAGAGGGCAGGTCCTGAGAAGGACAACTACAAATGGGACCAATAAGCAAAGACTGCTGGGAATCAAAACCACAGCACTGGATGAAATGAACACCAAGAGTTCCAGGAAAACGAGAGGGAGAAACATCTCTCTGGGCTGCAAATAGGAATCTGGACCTTCTCTTGTTCCATAATTTGAGCCTATTCTCTCATTTTTCTATTCAAAATTATTTTTCATTTGACATTAGTTTTTGTTGTTGTGTCCAAAGCACTGGGCTTAAGTCTGGAACATGACAGTGAACAAGAGCGATGACACCCCTGACCTCATTGAGCTCTACATTAGTGGATGGAGAGGGGCAGGGGACAGCAGATTTTAAAGGGAGATGATTTTGGAACACCTGAAATTCTATGAAGGGGATCAACAGTATGACGTTGTGACAGAGAACTACTTGGCAGGACAAGAAACCAGACAGAGCAAGCATTTCAGCTGAAACCTGAGGGCAGCCATGTGAAGAGCACATTCCAGGCGCCCAACAGAAGTCCTACGTTTGTCTTTTAAAGGGAATGAAACGGAGCAGCAGATAAGCCTAAACCGTGAATAGACTTGCCTACGTGTTACCATTTCCAGAGCAGTTTATGCTCTGCACGTTAATGCTTCCAGTTCCTCTAACTAGAGACAACAGTCTTCATTCTTCAAAGGATGATGATGCTCAAATACCCTTGGGACAGGTGCCAGCATAACCAATTTATATAAAGGTAGAAGCAACTGTTAATAAAGATATTGGTGAGAAAGAGCATGCGAGTACTGAGAACCTAAAAGCTGGAGAGGAAGTGGAGACTCAGAGAGGGACGTTATGGTACGGCGGCCACAGTGACATGGGCCTGACTGCAAGGGCTGGGACCTTCTGTGAACACTTTTAGGGCCTTTTATGAGTTCAGGTATTAGCTGCTTGACCAGTTTTAATTAATCATTTCTGAAGATTTCATTTTATATGTCCATTAGGGTTCATGTGGCAAGCATACAAAAGTCACCACCTGTTGTGTTTTGTTCTATTTTAATTTGTACCACATTCTCCTAAACCTGAGTGAGCTGAGATGTAGGCAAGGTCTGACTCTACAGTAGGAGCTATTCACCCATATGCCCAATGCAGCTCATATTTTCACCTGTGGGCCAAAATGCCTTTGTTTCTGTTTTGTTTTTGGTAAGGGCTTTCCCTCTGTTTCAGTCCCAGCCTCTGTGAGTAACCTCAAGGGATCCAATCGGAACATGACAGACAGTCTCTGGTTCAGCTGGAGTCCAGCCCCTGGGGACTTCGACTTCTATGAGCTGATTCTCTATAATCCCAATGGCACGAAGAAGGAAAACTGGAAAGAAAAGGACCTGACGGAGTGGCGTTTTCATGGCCTTATTCCTGGAAGGAAGTACACCCTGTGTGTGGTAACTCACAGTGGAGAGCTCAGCAACAAGGTCACAGGGCAGAGCAGAACAGGTAAGAAGCCCAGTTGCCAATGGCCAAGTATTGGTGGGAAGTAGCTTCCAAAGACGTGTTTTGTTTTGTTTTGTTTTGTTTTGTTGTTTTGTTTTGTTTTGTTTTGTTGTTTTGTTTTGTTTTGTTTTGTTGTTTTGTTTTGTTGTTGCTGCTGCTTTTAAATATATTTTTATTGATTTTAGAGAGAGAGGAAGGGAGACAGAGAGAGAGAGAGAAACATTGATGAGATCTATCAGCTGCCTCCTGCACACCCCCTTACTGGGGATGGAGCCTGCAGCCTGGGCATGTGCCCTGACTGGGAATCAAACCAGTGACCTCTTGGTACATAGGATGAAGCTCAACCCACTAAGCTATACCAGCCAGGGCCAAAGACATGTTTTAATTATGGTTTTAATAAGAAAAAACATAAGCAATAAGGATGTGCCATGTGCTAACCCCTGAACTGGGGAGGGGGGGGGCGGGGGGAAGCACAATGGTACAGTGGATAAAGGAAACAGACTTTGGTTAAAATGATCTAGGTCCTTAGCTTAACTTTGCCACTGACTTAAGTGAAACTGGGCAGGTCACTGAGCATCTCTAAGCCTCAATTTTTCTTGTCTGTAAAATGGGGATAATCACATACATCATCATTGTGTGGCTATGAGCAGTGCTTCCTAAATTTTTTTTTAATTTCTTAGGCACACATAGACAACATTAATATACCTGTGTGCCAATCTGGGGTCAATGGACAGAGCCATCTGAAATTGGACATAATCTTGGACTTTAGTCCTCACAACTCAAAATATGATAGTATTAATACCTTTTCACACTTGTAACCCATTCAGGGCACACCCATTCAGGGCAGCACTCTGGTAAGGAAGCTCTGGTTATGAAAATGAAAGAAAATGTACATAAAACACTTGAGGGCAGTGTCTTCCACATAGTAAAGCTCCTATTATTATATTATATTATTTCCTCCTACAAAGTACATTTAAGTATGTCTGACGTCGCTCAGCTATCTTATTGGCATATGTTCTGGCATAGAAGTGATTACATGATTTTTCATGCTCTTCTACATACAGCTCCAAGTCCTCCTAGTCTTATGTCATTTGCTGATGTTGCAAACACATCCTTGGCCATCACCTGGAAGGGGCCACCAGACTGGACAGACTACGACGACTTTGAGGTGCAGTGGCTACCCAGAGACGCAATCACGGTCTTCAACCCCTACAGCAACAGAAAATCAGAGGGACGCATCGTGTATGGTCTTCGTCCAGGGAGATCCTATCAGTTCAGTGTCAAGACTGTCAGCGGAGACTCCTGGAAAACCTACAGCAGACCAGTTTCTGGATCTGTGAGGACAAGTATGACATGTTTTGCTACTCTCGGTTCTTAAATGGAATGAGGAGGAATTATGTGTTACAACATGTAATTCCAACTGGGCTTGGTTTAAATCCACATTTTTACTTGGAATTGGTTAGATTGAATTCAGGCAGAATTATCTATAGATTTGTTCATTTATTCATATACTAGAAACAATAAACAATAAAGAAAAATCTCAGAGAGCTTACAATCGAGTGGGAGGTACCATCTTTAAAAGCAATTTCATTTGGGTGTGATGAAGGAAGCATTTGGCACTGTAGAAACCCATGTAGTGGCACTGACCCAACGCAAGGGAGCTTCCAGGAAGAAGAAACATCCAAATCAAAACCTAAGGAAAGAGTAAGATCCACCAGGTAGAGACAGGGAAAGAAGTGGAGAATATTCCAGGTAGAGAGACTAAAATATTCCAAGACCAGGAAGGAGAGAGGAACAGAAAGGAGTTTCGTTGGCCAGAGCATAAAAGGTGCAATTAGGAGAATCAGGTCATCAAATGTCTTGTGAGCCATTGTGACGACTTTGAACTTGATCCTCAATCAATCAGAGGAACTGAAGAATTTTTGGCCAAGATGTCATAATCAGATTTGTACTTTAGAAAGCCACTCTGGGTACAGTGTAAAGAATAGGTTAAAAGGGGCAAACTAGAAGCAGAGGGATCAGTTAGGACATATTGTTATAAAACCTGAAGAGAAAAATATTTTAACAGTGAAATATGTATCAGTTTCTTCTCAAAGGCATTTTGGGATTAATGAACTAACCTGAAAGAAACAAAGGTGTTTCAGAATAGGAACCTCAATTCAAGTATTTATTTTTCAATAATACCTAGTAAATGTAGCTTCTCAGATCAGATAGTGGTTATTGAGAAAATACCTAGCTGGAAATTAGAAATTTATGCAAGTAGTTGTTTTATTTATTCAACAAACGTGAGTGCTATAACAATTATAATTTGTGCTCCATATTGTATCCAAAGACCAGATTCAAGAGAAATATGTGAAGAAAAACTAACAGGTTTTGCTTATAGCAAGCTCGGGGTGGGTTTTCAGTGGTTTGCTATGGCTGTGTGATTGAATCACAGGTGCGCAGTTAAGAGCTCAGTAGAGGCTGGGTCCGATCACATCTGGAGTATTGTGTTCCGTCCCGGATGCTAGAGTTTAAGAGTGGCATTTACCAACTGGGGCATGCCCATGAGGAGAGCAACCAGCATGCAGAGGGATCTGGCGCTGAATTTTATGAGGAATGGCTGATGGAACTTTGAGGATTTCATTAGTTAGGGTTGGGTTTGGCTATGGGTAACAGAAACCCCAAAATAAGAGTATTAAGCAAAATAGAAGCTTATCATCATTCTCCTATAAATCACTCCAGTAGCCAGTTACTCACAAATAAGCTCCAGCCATGATGAATAACTGGTAGTTCAGGGTAAACCACCTTCCCACTCCTCCCAGCCCCACCCTTGGCACTTGGGTGCATGGTTTCTCTGTCTAAAATGCCCTTCCCAATATCTGGGCGAGTTGTCATCTTTGCCAGAGGCCTTTGCTATCTCCTGCCCACCACTAGCACCAGCAGCAAAAAGGTGTCTGTGACCACACAGCATCTTCTTTTTCCATTTCTTCTGAGACAGTCTCCTTTCTACCTTGTATTATGGCTGTTTTGGAGTCCTCTCCTTTCCTAGAGGTTAAGGCTAAGGTCATATTCACCTCTCTACTGTTCATAGACCCTAGAAGAGCACCTTGCACATAGTAGGCACTCATTTCTTAGTGAATGGGAGCGGGACCTGAGTCTTGGAAGGCAGGTGGGATTTACAGGTGAAAAGGAGGAGAGAGAAGGAACTGAGGGAAGAGGTGGAAGCTAGTTTCCATATTATCCTTTGTGCGAATAATCAGAGTTATGGGTTAGGCAGGATGTCTTTAGGTCTCAGCTCTGATTTGGTTTGAAAGGAGTTCCAAAGTTTAACAAGCAGTTACTGTTTGAAAAGACACAGTTATTGCTTGTCTCAAATGCCAGTTCTTTTGTGAGCCTTTTGATGGGTTGATGCCATTGATTATTGCCATCTGGGGATTGTTACTGTATTGTGTGCTGTGGTCAATAGGACAATGGGACAGGCTTTTAACTTTTAATCTTTATGAAGGCTTTAACTCCTGGAATGAAATAGGGTGGTCTAGACCTAGGTTTCAAGTTCTATTCCAGAGCCTGAAGCCTCCTTGGAAATGTCTGGGGGATGCAAGGGAGGTCATAGAGAGAGCACCCCAGTGTAGCACCCCTGAGCCCAATGCACACTTCAAACACAGACCAGAACTCCTCTGATTCTACAGACCAGGGAACTGAGAACTATTCTTTTTTAAGTGGCCCCACTGCTAAAATTACAATACGAAAATTACTTATTTAAATCATACAATTTCACTTTATAGATATATAAATAATTAGAAATGGTAGGCATGCAACTGATTGGGGCAGCCTACAGAGTTTCTTATTAACCTCGACAGTCACTTAAGTGCTTTTCTTCCCGACTGAATCTTTTACTCATTGTTTTGTCATTCACAATAAGTAAGACCAGCTTCTCTTCACTGCGTCCCTACTGGGTCAGGCACTCTGTTAGGCAGAAGAAACTGAATGACCATAGCATAGGGGCCTGGAACAGAATGGTCTCCATGCCGAACACAAGCAGTTTCGGTTCCATGGCATGTGAGCAGGGAAGGGCAGGCAGAAAATGGAAGAGGGGGCAGAAGCCAGAGCCCAGAGGGTAACAGGCCAGCAATGCCATTTCTTAATTTCCTCATTTATTGAGCAATTTCTATATCAGCCACTATTCTAGGAGGCTGTGCATGTTTCAACTCATTGAATCATCACAGTAATCATGTTATCTTAACTTCCCCACTTTACAGAGGGGCTCAGATGTGTTAAGTAACTTGCCCAAGAGCACACAGCTGGCAAATAGAATTTGAATTCAGGCAGGCCGAACTGCACTTCTGACCTCTCCTTTACTCTGCCTGACCCTTTATCTGACTTCTGCCACTTGATTTCACTGCCCATGTGCACATTTGTGTTTCCAGTCACATTGGCATCTGGTGATTTTTTTAAAGGAACAGCACTTTAACTTTTAATGTTTCTCAAAATAGGGTGTGGCAGGCAGACATTCCCTTGGAGGTCTATGAGAATATTTTTTTCCTTGAAAAACAATCCAAATTAAGTTGGGGAATTATTTGTGTAGATCTCTGAGCTAGTTGGACCCAAAGAAGCTAAAAATAAAAACGTGTCTCACAGAGTTATGAAAAGTGTCCCTTCCTCTCTCTCCTTTAGAGCCAGACAAAATCCAAAACCTGCACTGCCGGCCTCAGAACTCCACGGCCATTGCTTGCTCTTGGATCCCTCCTGATTCTGACTTTGACGGGTATAGCATTGAATGCCGGAAAATGGACACTCAAGAAGTTGAGTTTTCCAGAAAGCTGGAGAAGGAAAAATCTCTGCTCAGTATTATGATGCTCGTGCCCCATAAGAGGTACCTGGTGTCCATCAAGGTGCAGTCAGCTGGCGTGACCAGTGAGGTGGTGGAAGACAGCACCATCACAATGATAGACCGTGAGTGTCCCCGGAGGTGTGCGTAGTCCTCTGTCCTGTTCGTCATTGCTGTTCACTTGCATACAATTCACTTCCACATTAGCGTGTCTTGTCACTTCGAGGACCTAAAAGGCCTGGGAAATGGAAGCATTTCTCTGTGTAAGGTACCCTGCAGCAAACAAGCTAAAAGATCTTAAGGTCCCTAAATGAGTTAGCTTTTACCGATACAGTTAGAGTGCTCATGGAGCTGCCTCTTTCATTATGTTTAATGTGCCTCTGGCACATCACTTCAGGCCTGCTCCCATTGGGAGAGGAGGGGTTTTCTTGATTACATACAGGCACGCAAGTGCGTGCGCACATAGAGAGAGAGAGAGAAAGAGAGAGAGAGAGAGGATGTATCAGCACCTCACATATTATTTCTATGTAGAAGCAGAGTTGTGACCCTTCTTGCTTCTTCCTTCCTCAGGCCCTCCTCCTCCACCTCCGCATATCCGTGTGAATAAAAAGGACGTGCTAATTAGCAAATCTTCCATCAACTTTACTTTCAACTGCAGCTGGTTCAGTGACACCAATGGAGCTGTGAAGTACTTCACGGTGGTAGTGAGAGAGGCTGATGGTAAGTGAATTCCCTCAACTCCAAGATGCAGCATTGCTTTCTCAAAAGCCACTATGGGGATGCAGGGAGATGTAACAAAAAAACTGCTCAAAGGCTCTTTCAACAATAAAGCCTATTATCTACAGGGTGTAATTATTCAATGGGTGAATGATAACAATAGCAACCACAACTGTAATAACGGTAACCATCAGTTACTGAGCCCATACTATGTGTCAGGCACTGTTGGAAGTGCATTGCATGTGCAGACTCATTCAATCTTCTTCACTACTCATTCAGTCCTGTTCACTGCTCTTTTGGTCTGCCATTAAGCAGCAATATGCTATAACTGTCTTCCCCCGTCTCTGTCTCAAATACCCCCACCAATCACATGTCCCAAACCACCCACCAATTCGCAAAAATACTCAAAAGCTTGAGGGAGGAAAAAGATGATCATAAAAAGCATGCCTCCTTTCTCTACTGCATTTTCTTCAATGTATGCTTTATTCTCTAGTTCTTTCACCCTCAAATTATTCTGTGTCTACTTAATTCCTGTGGACTAGGCAAATACTAGGTAATAGTTGAAACAACGTTCCATACAACCACCGAGTATGATCTTCAGAGATTACTATATACATCTCAATTGGCAAAATACAGGAGTATTGTACATTGGTGTACACATGCCTGCAAGTGTATTTGCCATTGAGGATGTGTGTTATTTCTCCAAAACAGATGTTTGTGTCTGGAACGGCATTGATATATTTTGCATGTTTTATGTTTTTCAAAATTCTTTAAGGTCTGCACAAGAGTTTCTTAAGCATCTTTGACAATTGTAACCCATTTGTGGGCAATGGGAAACTTTAAATCTGACAAATGTTGGAGCTAAATAGTATTTTAGATAGCTAATGGTCCATGCGCTTTTACATCTTATTTAATTGTATTAAATCTGGGTATGCATAATCAATTAAATAATTTCAAGGGTCAGTGGTGCATCCCAGATTTCTTTACACCTCATAACTGGAGATAAATTGAACTGTGCAGCGACTTTAGATTTAAGTGGGCTGCAGTGAAGGTGATGTTTTACTACGTGAATATAAGGCAGTGAAGAAGTCAGACCCCAGAAAGCAGCCTTGTGTTCTTCGGCAGGTGGGTTTCAGTTATTGATGCCCATGGAGAGCGGCGGTGCTCCCCTGGTGATCTAAGATAACAATCCTGCTCGTATAAGTGGCATTTATCGCGTATGCACGCATCCTAAAGGCCACATTCCTTTTCAACTACTGCCAACAAGATAATATTTCCAAGATCCACTCATTTTGAGCAAATTTTATGAAACAAGAGTCCAGGATGCAATGAACCCCTACCATACCACTTCTTGAAATTCATTGTAAATAGTATGCAATCTCCATAATATTTATCTTCCTAATTATGCTTTCCTCCAGCCAATATCAAAACTGGTTTGCAGAGCCAAAACACACAGCAGGCTGGGTGGACAGGGGAAGAGTTCTGGGAAGTGATCGGCATGAGGGGCCAAATTTGAGCCAGGATTAAACTGTACTCAAGATAAGAGTCCTGTACCCTGAGCAGTTATCAGCAGGGCGTGGCGCCTGGAACGTGCTGGTGGGGCGACTGCTCTGGCCTTGGATTTGATTTCTCTTATCTTTTTCCTATTTCCCAGGTCATAGGGATTTCCTTATTAGCTTAGCTACAATGATTATTGGCAAGCTTATTGAGTGGGTTGACTCTCACAATGGGGAGTGTTTAACTTTCTGGAGTTGTGGGCATGTTATCATTTGGTTTAATGAGATATCCTCTCACCCACACATTTTATTTGCAAGAAAAATATATATATCTTTGTTTATACACTATCATTCATGTTAGAAAAAAATGAATTAAATTTATTTTCATTGGGAGAATTTCACAGCATCCTTCGAGATCACAAATGCTGGAAATGACCAGAGAGGGTGAGGAGTCAGCCTTAGAATCCTCAGTAGAAACCACTGAGGCCACAAGAAAGTCAGTCTTCACTGTGGGTTTTGTCCTCCAGGCAGTGATGAGCTGAAGCCGGAACAGCAGCACCCTCTGCCCTCCTACCTGGAGTACAGGCACAACGCCTCCATTCGCGTGTATCAGACCAATTATTTTGCCAGCAAATGTGCCGAAAGTCCTGACAGCAACTCCAAGAGTTTTAACATTAAGCTGGGAGCAGAGATGGAGAGCCTGGGTGGAAAATGTGATCCCAATCAGCTAAAATTCTGTGACGGACCGCTGAAGCCGCGCACTGCCTACAGGTTAGATGTATTGCCGTCCTCTTGCTGGGAGGGATATGCTACATTACTAGGCGCTCGGCTGTCTGGGCCGCTGATGCACACAAGCTCCTGCAGATTAATCACCTACGTTACAAGAGTGCTCTATGTTTTACTGGGTAATTTATAAAAGTTGTGTTCCTGCCTCCATTCCCAGGGAATGTGTAAAAAGGACCTTGAGCGTTGTGGAAAAGCTCTAATTCATTATGTGAAGAATTGAAGGTTCTTAACAGATTGTTCTTTCTCCTAAAACTTCCTTAGTACAAGCCAAATCAATTCTCAGGTTAACGATTGTGACCATGTCCAAGTAGAAAGATAGAGTGTAGGGAGATGCAAGGAGTATGAGCTTTTAGCTTCCACTTTTAATGAGGACTCAGATTACACTGATTCATTTACCCTCTAAGGCATAAAAAGATGAAAGTGCTCTCTGGTCCAGACAGAACTCTTGAAGGCAGAAGCCCCTGAATGATTGGGAACATCTCTTCCTTACCCTAAGAAGGCAGATTAAAGGGGCGGCTGCTTGGCCCCAGGAAGCACTACTGCAGCCAGCAGCCCCTCCCAGCTGCAGGAACTGGCAGAAGTGCACAGCATCCCAAACCAGGGCCCTCAAGAGAAAGAGAACCTATAGATACAGGCATCCAAGATTGGCACTTCTGCAAGGGATGTACCTTCTCTGTTGTGTGTTCCCAGAGCTGATACTAACCAATAGGGCCGCCAATCAGGTTCTCCGTGGGCAGTGTCTATTCTTGTTGGTCAGTGCCCTGGTATGTTGACTCATATTTTGAGTATCACCCCTGAGTCAGCTTCAAAAGGAGACAGTGACCTGACATCACACCTGAGAGCACTCTTTTCTTTTTAAATCCTCACCTGAGGATATTTTTTCCATTGTTTTTCAGAGAGAGTGGAAGGGAGGGAAGGGGGCGGGGAGAGAGAGAAACATCGATATGTGAGAGATACACAGACTGGTTGCCTCCCACACTCGCCCTGACTGGGGGGATGGGGAGCGAACCCACACCTCAGGGATGTGCCCTTGACCAGGAATCGAACCTGAGACCCTCTGGTGTGCAGGCCGATGCTCCAGCCACTGAGCAACATCAGCCAGGGCCTGAGAGCCCTCTTAGCTCCTTCCTCACATCAACTAAAGAAGGCCAGTGGTTTTCTTCCTAAAACAGAGCACTCACTTTGGGCAGGAACTCTGTGGAGTTACCTCTGCCCAGGACTCACCACAAAGATGATATTGCCACCCTAGCCAAGATTTGCACATCCAGAGCAAACTTACTAGTGATGTTTACTTCAGGAAGAGACCATTATAAGTTTATCTGAAGGAGGTGAGATCTCGGACAGAGCAAAGGAGAAATGCAAGAGATCAGAACGCTGGCATCCTTCAGGTCCTATAAGAATCAAGAGTGTCTGAGCTCCTTAGACACTTGGGCTCAAGGACACAGCAAAAGCCTCCCAGGGGCCATTTTCTCTTTGTGAGGAGGAAAGGTGAGGCTGTTTTTGTTTGTTTACTTGTTTGCTTTTTGAGAGAGGAGAGAAAATGACTCATCACTACATTTCAGAGAGAGAACAAGAAGCTATAGACAGTTTGCATCTAGACCAGAGCCTGCCAGGCTCCGGGCACATTCCTTCCTGCCCATAGCAGCTGCCACAGGGCTGCCATTTTTTGGTCATTAGCCTTATAAACAGTATTTCAGTTCTTTAACCCTCATGTTTTCATCACAGAACATTGCAGAGTTGTCCTGGGGAACAGATCAAACCTAGTCATGTGCCTTCTAGATTAAGGTCTTCCAGTGATCCCCGTTCACACCACAGCCTTCCAGAGCAGGGCACACAAAGTCCTCGCCTTCTCCCCTCCCACCTTCCTCGTCAACGTTGTCTCCCACCATTTTCCCAAGTATACCTTACCCTTTTCTACTCCTCACTCCTCAGAGTTCTCTTGAACATGACATGGCTCTCTTTAACCCGAGGCTTTGCACATTCTTTTCGCTCTATCTAGGATGCTGCCAATCCCTTCTTTGGTGGCTGAATTCCTTCAGACAGTTCAAAAGCCAGCTCAACCTTCAGCCAGCCCCACGCTCCCCTTGTCAATGCACTGCTGGGCAGTTGTACTCTCAGCTCCATTTCCACAGCACCCAGTCCTGACATTCTTCTAATCAACCCTCCAGTTACCAGTGACTTTTAATCCTTTGTTTAATCACCTACCCTCTTTACTACATTGAGAGAGCTCACAGTCTAATGGAGGAGACAGATGTGATGTTGGTGATGAAACAATATGACAAGTACCAGGCACAAAAAAAAGCATTTATTAAATGTTTGGGAGTCAAGATATACTCCTAAAAAGTTACACATTCTTAATCTAGTGTAATCAACTCATGCTGTAGATATTTGTTTGCTAGGACATAACTCTCCTCTGTTTCTCCAATGTGCACTTGGTTCAGTCCTGTGGAAAGCATGCCACAGTAGTGCTTGATGAGAGGAGGCCTAGCCTTTCAGAATACATGGGAGAACCCTATGCTAAGTGGCCTCCTGCGAGGGGCGGCTGAGCCCTAGCCCCCGGGAGTCAGTGTTCTGCCTTCTCAAGATGATAGTCACCACGGTGACCTTCAATGCTGTCAGGCACCTTTTTCCCAAAAAGAATAGGTGGACAGGAAGAGACATGGAAAAAGAAACATTATGATTGAAAAGAAATTGGAAAACACTCGGTTTAGCTGACACACAAGCTTATTATGTCAGTACATGTAACATGTTCCCATTCATTTGGGTTCCTATTATTCGGTTGTATAATTAGCACGGTTCCATGTGGGAAGAGAAAGGGCAGAGCATGATGGGTGAGAGGTAGTTTGGAGGTTAGGAAAGTGCTGATCTGGTTTTGTTTCTATTCTAAATAGAATAGCAATGTGACCACAATTGGGTAGTCAGCTTCTCTTGACCTCATTTTTCTCAAATGAAGGAAACTAAACCACATGATCTCTAACTTTGTGCTGTGGAATTTTCTGATTCTGGACACAGTTAAACTTGAAATAATTACTATCAGATATCTATTCATTAAAATAATCTTACTCTATTATTAAATTGATCCTGCTGATCATATATTCACTACAGGGTGCCTCCTCTCTGAAAGTCCCAGAGCCGAGTGTGGTAGGGAAAATATGGAAATAAGGACAGAGGATTAAGGTGGAGGGAACATAGTGAGTCAAAGTGCAGAAGCAAAAACACAGATTGTTTAGAGAAGAGCAAGTAGTCCAGGTTCAAGCAGGGCTGGGAGCATGAGTTAGAAGGAGGGGACAGAGGGTCAGAACAATGTTTCCTGGCCTGTTACTACTGCAGCATTATTACAGGATGTGCCCAGATACTTTGGGGTTCAACCAATCTAGCCTTTTAAAAAGGAAAAAATGAATCCTCCATTCATTTTCATAGGGTTTAAATTAACACTAGAAAAGGTTTTTCTATAGCAACCAAGCCTTATACTTTATTTATTTACTAGAGGCCTGGTGCACGAAATTCGTGCACTGGAGCGGGGGGGGGGGGGGGGGGCGTGTCCCTCAGCCCGGCCTGTGCCCTCTCACAGTCCGGGAGCCCTCAGGGGATGTCCAACTGATGTGGAGGCGCTCCCCCTGTGGTAGTGCACTGACCACTAGGGGGCAGCTCCTGTGTTGAGTGGGACTGGGCCAAAACCAGCTCTCAGACATCTCCCAAGGGGTCCCGGATTGCGAGAGGGCATAGGCCAGGCCAAGGGACCCCACTGGTGCACAATGGGGGATGGGGAGGGACGTGGGAGCTTGGCCACGTCATTAGCCTTATAAACAGAGGGCTCTAGGGCATGTCCGGCCCATCTAGCTCAATCCCAATCGGCCAGACCCCAGCAGCAAGCTAACCTACTGGTTGGAGCATGTGCCCCCTGGTGGTTAGTGCACGTCATAGTGACTGGCCGGCTGGTGGACTGTCTGCCCCCTGGTGGTCAGTGCAAGTCATAATGAGCAGTTGAGCAGCCTTAGAATATCATTAGCATATTACGCTTTGATTGGTTGAATGGATGACTGGATGACCAGACACTTAGCATATTAGGTTTTTATTATATAGGATTTATTTTAAATTTCAATTTTTTATTGTTTAAAGTATTACATAAGTCCTTTTCCCCCCATTGACCTCTCCCCAACCACCCCATCCCCCAGCACATGCCCTCATCACCCACCCACCCCCCATGTCTGTGTCCATGGGTTACGCTCATATGCATGCATACAAGTCCTTTGGTTGATCTCTTACCCCCTCACCCCCTGCATTCCCTCATAGGTTCGACAGTCTGTTTGATGCTTCTATGACTCTGGTTCTATTTTTGTTTATCAGTTTATGTTGTTCATTATATTCCACAAATGAGTGAGATCGTGTGATATTTATCTTTCTCTGACTTGCTTATCTTGCTTAGCATAATGCTCTCCAGTTCCATCCATGCTGTTACAAATGGTAAGAATTCTTTCTTTTTTACAACAGCATAGTATTCCATTGTGTAGATGTACCACAGTTTTCTAATCCACTCATCTGCTGATGGGCACTTAGGCTGTTTCCAAATCTTAGCTATGGTAAATTGTGCTGCTATGAATATAGGGGTGAAAATATCCTTTCTGATTGATGTTTCTGTTTTCTTAAGCCTGATACTTTATCAGTAAACCTATAGTCTGAGCATCTCAAGATAGAAAGAACTCAAGAGCTGGCCCAGGCCAATCTTTAACTTAGTGCAGCAGACCTGTCCCGTAGCTTTCCTGGGAGCTGGTTTTCCTCCAGCCTCTGCTGAGAGCCCTTCAATAACGTTAAGCCCTTCACTACCTATGTGGCTCCTACACTAGATGCTGGAACTTGACTTCATGACTACAGCTCTGTGACGCCAGCCTACTGAGCTCAGTCCTGTCTTAAGGAGGAAAATAAGGATGTCTGTTTCCTCTTCTACGTGCAGTCTTCCTTAAATATGAAGTCAGCGATCATGTTCCTCTAAGCCTTCTCTGCATCATCCTGGTCAATCACCCCAATGATTTCTATGCTTCCTAAATTATGACCCCCAAAATTGAGTAGGACTGGACCTGACTCACCCAGAGAACATGAGATTTAGGTCCTGTGATGGGTACAGTAGGCCTTTCATCCAGGCTGGGGTTCTAATTCAGTGTTTTAGGAGCTGCACCTTGCTTGCTTATTGAATTTAGGGCCAGCTGATCTCCAGGAACCATCCTACATGGGCACATGGGCAGCTACCTCAGCAGCTCTCCAGCCCAGGTGACTGGAATAACTCCAAATGCCAGCTGGAGAGCTCTAAATGAGTCTCACTGTCATTCTAATATTGCCAAGCAAAGCTCATCCTCTTTCCCTAGTCTAGCTCCCATTTCTATCAGTGAGGCCGTTTTTCTTCCCAATGACCTGAGCTAAAATCTTAGAACAGTGTTTTTTTTTAAATAATTCTCACCTGAGGATATTTTTCCATTGATTTTTCAGAGAGAGTGGGAGGAAGAGAGGAGGGGGGGAGAGAGAGAGAAACATGGATGTGAGAGAGACACATCAACTGGTTGTCTTCTGCACACACCCTCCCTGGGGCCAGGGATCTAACCTGCAACCCAGGTATGTACCCTTAATCAGGAATCAAACTGGTGACCCTTTGATGTACGGACCAACGCTCTAACCACTTAGCAACACCAGCTAGGCCTAGAACCATCTTGATTTCCCCCTTCTCCTCTTCAGACTAGGTCTTGTCTGGCACCTCCTCTCAGTGCCTTTCAATCTTCTTTCTGTTCCCATTGCCACTGCCGGAGACCAAGGCCCCATGTCCTTGGCCTGGACTATCACACTAGTCTCTATATGGACCACTCTTCTCCCAGGTGGTCCTTTGCTGGCTCTTCCACTTGATTTCATACTGTTCCCCCATTTGGAATCCTGTGCTCCAGGCCACCCCATCTCCTTATGCCCAAACATAGTTTCCTCCAAATTGCAGTATTCCTCATTTGCATTCAATACGTGCTTTCTTCTTTTACTATTTGCCTTATTTCTTTATATTGTTTTTCTAGTTTTCAAGAGTAGTGAGCATGTATCTCTTTGTAACTTCAGCAATTAGATATAAAGAAGGCATCAAGTATATTTTATGACAATGACATTAAAATATTTTTAGATAAAAGGCTCTTTAGAAAATAACTAGTGCCAAAAAGATGGGAAGATACATAATTTTATTTGTAATGTAATGTTCAGTGTAAAATGTTATTTGTATATGTAGTTATTTTAGTAAAATATCAACAATTACAGGAAAACTGATAATACTGACATTTGACTCATTGGACTGCTCTAACAGGCACCCAGAATTACTGCCCCCGCAAATGAACTCTGTACTTCCCGAACCCCTCAACATTCTCCACAGACTTCCTTGATGTTAGTAAATGGCACCTCCATTCCCCCAGTTGCTCCTCAGCCAGATCATATGGAGTCATCCTTGCCTCCACCCTTTCATACTGCACGTCCACCAGCAAATCTTTCAGCTCTTTCTTTGAAATATCCAACACTTCTCACTATAAATATGATTGCATTTTGGTCCAAGCCAGCATCTCCCACCTGGACCTGAGCAATTCCCTGCTGACTAGTTTGCCCTCTTTTACTGTTGCTCCCGGGCTGCAGCAGCCAAAGTGATCCTGATAGCACCCCCTAGTGGCTTCCTAGGTCTCTCAGAACAAAAGCCAAAATCCTCACCAGACCTTCTGGGTCTTCCATGGTCCCATCTAACTCTCTGTCCTCATCTCCTATTTCTCCATCATTCATATATTGTGCTCAGCCACGCTGGCCTCCTTGCACCCGGGCATGTTCCTGCCTCAGAGCCTTGCACCTGTCTGAAATGCAGCCACGGTTTCCTCCTTTCCTTTCCTCAGATTTCTGTGCACATATCCTTTTATCAGAGACATTCATTGACCATGATGAATAAAGCAGTCCCATTGCTTTCCATCTCCCTTACTCTGCTGCTGTCTTTTTAATGGTTCATGTCACTATTTGGCATATTATATTTGTATATGTATTATCTGATATCTCCCATGAAAATGTAACCTCTGGGATGGTAGGGACTTTTACTTTCTTCCTTGCAGTATCTCCAGCCCCTGGAACATAATATCTGACACAGAATAGGGACTCCATAAATATTTGAAGGATGAATGAATGAACCCAAGACTGTCTGATTCCATGACTCACATCCGACCCTATATACATATTGACACGTCCCCACCCTGTTTCTCCTTGAACACATTCTTCAGTCAGCCCTACTGTGGTCAGCCACTAATTTGTACCTACATAAATGTTTCTTTTTCAGAATCAGTATTCGGGCTTTTACACAGCTGTTTGATGAGGACCTAAAGGAATTCACAAAGCCACTCTATTCAGACACGTTTTTCTCTTTGCCTATCACCACCGAGTCAGGTAAGGCTAACCTTTCCATTCCCACATATTCTCCCAACCACCGTCACCCACAAGGACCTCTCGTGGGGAGGTCTACAACTTGGCTGATGGTGGGGGGAACATTTATTTTCACTTGGAAGTTAATCTGTATGTGATTGTGGATTGATGCGGGTTCAAGGAATTCACAACTTCTATAGGAGAACGGATCCAAGGAGAATTAATCTAGAAAAGGTACAAGTACCAGATTTTTTAAGAGGTACCAGATCTTTATTGAAGATACATTTTTTAATAAATTTATTTAAATAAAGAGCTTGCACAGGTCAAAATATAAGTAGATACAAAAGGCTTTCGAATGCATACATGCATATACATAGAAATATATTTTAAAAACTAGAAGAAAAAATAGCAACGTATTAACAAGGAATATCTCAAAGTAGTGGGATTATAGGCAGCTTTTTTCCTTTTGCTTGTTATATATTGTTTTCACACCATAAAAAATGTTAACAGGCTTCGCATAAATTTATGAAAGAGACTTCTCATGTATGTTAGAGGGAGAGTCTGAGTAATAGTGGCAGCTAGTACTTACGGGGTTGCCTACTCTGTGGAGGTAGGTTTAAGCATTGTGCATAGAATGACTTACCCAAGCCTAACTTCAGCCTTCTGAGGTGGATACTGTTATCGCCCCCATTTTAAAGGTGAGGGCTGAGGCACCAAGAGTTAAAGGAACTCAGATTTCTGGGCTTATCAAGGACACTTTCACTGACCATGCTGAATAAAGCCTAATAGAGCTGGGGAAGATAGTAGAGCTGGTGTTCTGGCCCTTTCTGCCTGCATCCTTAACCTGTACACCGCACTGCCTTGGAATATTTCAGTAAGGCTGAGAATAGCATCATTGTTCAGCAGGTTTTTCCTCGTTACCATGATCTGCCCCAGTCTTTCCCTGAAGCCCATGTTCCATGGTCCTTGGTCCCAGGAAGTTCTTCTTTACAGCTAAAACAGTCTGTCATGCTGCAGGACAAAAATGACTCAGCCTCACAAACACCCCCATCTATTTATGCCAAGTATAGGCATAATCTCCCACTCTTCAAGCCAAAAAGAGATCAGAACACAATTAAGACATGTTTGCTTATAATTTAATGTTAAGTAAAGGCTTTGTAAACACAAGTCTTTCCTCTTTGAAATATTGTTATACAGTAAAAATTATATAGACTTCAGTAAAGGAAGATAGTAAGTATATATTTTTTAAAAAGAATATTAGCCACCTTAAACGAAAGATGATTGTGTTGATTTGATGAGTCTTGAAAAGCAACATTGAACAAAAAATTCAAGGGCACAAAATGAAACTTCAAAAATGGGCTAATTCCTAGACTTAAGTGTAAGGGCTGAGACAATAAAATTTTTAAAAGAAAACAAAGGAGTACATTTTTGTGACCTTGAGTTAGAAAATGGTTTCTTAGGTATGACACCAAAAGCACAAGCAATAAAAGAACAAATAGATAAATGGGACTTAATCAAAATTAAAAACTCTTGTACTTCAAAGGAGACCATGAAGAAAGTGAAACCACAGAATAGGAGAGACTATTTGCCAATATTATATCTGATAAGGTGCTAGTATCCAGAACATGTAAAGAACTCTTAACTTACACTCAATAATAAAAAGACAAATAACAAAAGATATGAATAGACATCTCTCCAAAAAAGATAACAAATGTCCAATACACACATGAAAAGATGCTCAACATCAGAAGTCATTAGGAAAATGTAAATTAAAGCCACTGTAAGAAACCACTTCATACCCAGTAGAATGACTATAATCCAGAAGACAGTAACGAGTGTTAGCAAGGATATGGAGAAATTGGAACCTCATGCATTGCTTGTGAGAATGAATAATGGTGTAGCTGCTTTGGAAAACAGTTTTCCAGTTACTCAAAATGTTAACCAAGCAATGCCACTCCTGAGTATATACCCAAGAGGAATGAAAACATATGTCCACACAAAACCCTGTAAACACATGTTCATAGCAGCTTTATTCATAATAACCCAAATATCCATTAATGGATGATTGAATAACAAAATATGAGATATCCATAGAATGAAATATTATTGAGCCATAAAAAAGGAATGAAATATTGATCAATGCTACAATATGACTGAGCCTTGAAAACATTACGCTAATGAAAGAAGCCAATTACAGAAGAATACATATTTATGATTCAGTTTATGTAAAATGTCCAGAATAGGTGAATCTATGAAGACAGAAAGATTAGTGGTTGCCAGGGCTAGGAAGAGGAGAGAATAGAGAATGACAGCTAAGAGCATGGGGTTTCTTGATTGGGGGGGAGAGAGATGATGAAAATGTTACAGAATTGTATGTGGTGATATTTGCAGAACTCTGTGACTATACTGAAAATCATTGAATTATACAATTAAACTGGTGAATTGTATGATACATTAATTATATTTCAATAAAACTATTTTAAAAATGGGTTACTATTACCTGCTCTTAAACTCCCAGTGGCAGTATTATACCAGAAAATAAAAATAAAATTTTGTTAAAATAACTCACAGCCATGAACTGGATTGGCTAAAGTCCCAGATGCTGTAACTTGTTTTATACAAATGAAATAACATTTTTATTTTGGTGGCAAACTGCTGTCATTTATTTTAAGAGCCCCAAGCTTTATATACAAGCACAAACAAGTCCAAAATCTCTTTAAAAGCTAAATAACATTAACTTCAAAAATATAATGACCCACCAGCGTTTCATCTTCTCGGCTGCGTACTCCCATAGGAACTGACTCAGTGTGGGCATCGTTTGAATTCTTCTTTAATAATGTTCCCGGGAAGGTAGAGCTTCTAGCTCCCCGGTTTGTTAGCACTAATGTGCCCACCTGGGTTTGTTGTTTCCATCTGTATTGCTGTAGAGCCTTTTTTTGGAGTTATTGAAGGCGTGAGTGCTGGTCTGTTCCTAATTGGCATGCTGGTGGCCGTTGTTGCCTTATTCATCTGCAGGCGGAGAACGAGGTGAGTACAAAGATCCCTTTAGTGATTGGGCCCCGAACCTTAAATATGCAACTGAAAATGCCCTTTAGTCTGAACAGTAAGAAGGAAAAATAATTTAATTTCTCTCGGTTAAATCAGCTTTGCTTCTCAAGAAAAACAAAAGTCAAACCCTAAAACCGGGACTCACTTTTGTCTGCCTCTCTACACACCATTGATGAATTCTGCCCTCTCCAAATGACTAGGGGGCTGTGTGAAGCTTTATTTGAGTGTGAAACAACACCTTTTGCACAGGAAAAAAAAACACACACACACACAAAAACGTTGTGTGTGGTTCCATCTCCTCATGAAGACAGAGATGTGTGCAAATTGTGTACCCAATCACTTTTCTGAAATATGCTGAAAAGTATGGCTGACATCACCCTTTTATGGCTCATATCTGCTGTGCTAATTTAAGGAGAGACCAAAAAGAACCAAAGCATGTGGTCCCAATGCCACACTCTCTCCTCTTGGGGAATTTCTTTTATTTGGCACACCGTGTTCTCTCTTGATGTCATGTCTTGCATCTAAGGTTTACTGGGGGTTTTTTAAGGAAAGTTTTATTGAGAGTGTGGGAAGTGATTGTGACCTGTAGCCAAAAACCAGAAGACAAATCTTCAGCTATTGCAGAGATCCGTTTCCGAGTGGGAAAAGTCTATTTCTTTATGTTCTTCCTCTCTTCCCCTCCTTCCCCTTTCTTCCCCCTCCCCCCCACAAAGAGACGGTGGCTGAGTGTCAATCTACGTGAATACTGAAAAATCCATATGTGCACAAGCATGCACAGCCTTACCATAAATGGAAAATGTGTTGAAGTCCTAATGTAATATGTCTCATAATTAGAATGTAAGTCCTCTCCCTTATGTTACAGCCATGGTCGAGAAAGGCCCTCTGCCCAGCTGAGCATCCGCCGGGATCGGCCATTGTCTGTCCACTTGAACCTGGGCCAGAAAGGGTGAGCACCACATCTTCCTTCACACCATTCACTGAAAGATGAGTTGATTGTATTACGTGAGGTTTACTAATGAGGTCTTTCTTCTCTTGGCTTCCTTTCACAGTAGCCGGAAAACTTCTTGGTAAGAGAGAAGACTCATTAATTACTATCGTATCTGCTTTTGAAATGGAGCTCTAACTGGTTATGGCATGTTTCCTTCAGTAATTTTCCTTCGGTTCTATTTTAATTCTAGCCCAATAAAAGTAAATCAGTTTGAAGGGCACTTCATGAAGCTGCAGGCCGACTCCAACTACCTTCTGTCCAAGGAGTACGAGGTACGACTCAGATGCAGTTATGCTTTGGCACCTAGTCCTCGGCAGAAGTTTCCTCCCAAGCTTTCCTGTGGAATCACAGGCTGATTGGGCTCAGGAGTTAGGAGGACACGCAGGATCTCAGCTGAGTGCTCTTTTATGCCCGAATCTCTTCCCCGCACAACATACCACCTAATCTCACAGGCCATTTCATCTCCAGATTTGTGCAGCAAATCCTGAATCCGATGATAAGAAAGAATGAACAAATTGCAAATGCAAACCTGAGGCTCTCAGTTACCCTGGCCATTTGCTTGACTGGGAAATAATGGGCTTTGGTGAAAAGTGCCCAGACTTTGGGTTCTGTTCCCAGCTTTGCCACCAGATCTTCAGCTATTGACCTGGGGCAAGTTAGTTTTCCTGTCGGAGCCTTCTCTGTAAAATGGAGATGGGAATGCCTCCTGTGGAACTGCTGTGGGGACCAGAGCTAATGCCTACAGAGTAGCAGGCATTCCATGAACAGTAGCTAGTATACGTATTCTCATATTGTAATCCATCTCAAGGATTGTATGATTTGTCTTCTTCTATTTCATATTCTCTACTTGCAAATTTATTTTTGACCTCATAGGACTTAAAAGACGTGGGTCGAAATCAACCATGTGATATTGCACTCTTGCCGGAGAACAGAGGGAAAAATCGATACAACAATATATTGCCCTGTGAGTTTCGTGTTGAAGTTTGTAATACTGTCTTCCTCTAGCCATTCCTCCTTTTTTTCCAGGAATAAAATGGGCTAAAGAAATACGGTATGGGTGGATTTGGGAGATCTGAGGCTCTGAATGCTTTAAAAAAGGGATGGCATGGGTGTTACTGCCCCTCCCTCCACATGGGTAACAAGTTTCAATTCTGGTTCCAAGAGGCCTCTTCTGCTATTGACATTTCACCTTGGAGGCCTCCGAGCAGTAACAGGGCCAACAGCAAAGGCCAACTCAAGTTTATCTAACAAAGTCTCCAGTTAGCAACTGTTATTAAATAATTATTACATATTTTAATTATCCTTATCCTATTAGTTCAGTGGTTCTCAACCTTCTGGCCCTTTAAATACAGTTCCTCATGTTGTGACCCAACCATAAAATTATTTTTGTTGCTACTTCATAACTGTAATGTTGCTACTGTTATGAATCGTAATGTAAATATCTGATATGCAGGATGGTCTTAGGCAACCCCTGTGAAAGGGTCGTTCGACAGCCAAAGGGGTCGCGACCCACAGGTTGAGAACCGCTGTATTAGCTGAAGCAACAGTTTTTCTGCATTGTATTCATTCCAGCAGTGCGAGGGAGCTGGACACTCCTTGGGCGAACGTCATAGTGTTACAAGTAGTGTAACAAAGGAAAGCGCAGAGGGGACTGCAGAAGGCATTTGGTCATCTGTGTGTTTATGAACCACCTATGCAACCTGGGGCGAGGTATCCTGTCTGAGCCTCGTCTGCAAAGCGGAGATGAGGATTCTTCCTTGTGGGGCCCTTGTGGGATCAGCATTCCATAAACCGTAGGAAAATCACCTTAAGACTCAGTGGCAAATCTGTCTCAATAAACTTCCTTCCAGATGATGCCTCTCGAGTGAAGCTGTCCAATGTCGATGACGACCCATGCTCCGACTACATCAATGCCAGCTACATCCCTGTGAGTGCACCACTAGGCTGTCGTGCCCAATGAAGCTTTGATGGGTGACCACACGGGAGATACCTCTCCTCCTACATGCTATTACTGCTCTCAGGTTTTAGAAGGCAAGACTGTGTCTGATTGCCATAAAACACAGGGTGTCCATTTAATCACTGCTAAAGGCCCATTTACACAATGGCTATAGTCACAAGAGATTTTAATGAGCCCAGGATGCATTCTCATAGGTCGTTTTCTCGCTGCAGCCCTTGGCCAAGACTAGAGCTCCCTAAAGACGTTGGACCTCCCCTGCTAAGGCTGCGTAGGTAGGAAAGGTGATTTGAAGTTACTTGGATTGTTGAAAACCACAGACACAGCTCCAAGGTTATGTCAAACCCTTGGGCTCAGATTCTGGCTGTCAACTTGCTAACTTCCTGTAGCACCCTACAAGTGGAAGAAGCTTTGAGATCAGACAGATCCAGGTTTCAGTCCCATCTCTGCCCTTTACTGGACTCTGTAACCTTGGACAAGTTATGTCACCTCCATTTTCTTTTCTAAACAATGAGGATAAGTAATATGGATCTCAAATCATCATTCTTTCACTCAGTGAGCACAACTTGTTAAGTGCTGGATAGAAGTCAAATACTGAGCGATGCACAGGAATCTGGTAAGATAGAATCTGACCCTCAAAGAACTCTCAGGAGAGTGGGGGCATCAGGACATGACCAGGCCATGCCCTGAAAAACATACCTCCACATCATTGTTAAAATGCAGATTCTGTTCCAGCGGGGGGGCGGGGGGGGGGGGGTGCTGAGATTCTGCATTTCTCGTAAGCTGTTAGGTGAGCCCATGCTGCTGGTCTAAGGACCACTGTCTAGTAGCAAGAAGTTCGAAGTTGCCACAGCAGGGGAACATCACTCAGCAGACAGGAAGATAGAGGAAAGCTCAGCAGAGCAGGCAACACGCTGAGACTTGGAGGGTAAATGAGGAATAGCCAGCTGAGAGGCCGTGTCTGGGTGGGCGAGGCGTGGGAGTGGCAGAGGTGACAGAATGTAGAGGCCCTGAGGAGAGGGAAGGAGAGAAAGCTTCCAGGAGGTTCTGCCAGGAATTCTGTATTGCTGGGGTGCAGAATGAGTGGGTGAAAATATCCTAGCTCCGAGAGTTGTGATTAAGATTAATTAAGATTTAGGAAAGTCCTGGCTCACAGCATGTTATCAGATAGGTTTTCAGTAGACAGTGATTTATATTTCCTTAAGTTTCCCTTGCATGACCTCTCTTACCAACATTCCAATGTCAGTTATCTCAAATGACTACAAGCTTCTCCATTAAATAGGGAAAGAGCCTGATTAAAATCTGTCCCTCAGACACACCTACACACGTGCGCCCGCGCGAACACACACACACACACACACACACACACACTCAATTGTGGATTAAGTGTTTTCTAGATTATCACCTGAGTCCTCCCTCCATTGCCTTTTAGAATAGACCCAGCCTAATAAAAAGGAATTTGGCTCTTAACAATAGTTCAACATTCCAGCCTTTGTCCTTCCTGCTCCCAAGCCTTGACACTTGTGTTAGTATCTTTTTCTCATCAGGGGCCTGGCCAAGACCTACATATCACTGCATCTGCAGCTCATTCTTTGTTTATGGTTCTGAAGAGGCCTATTGTTTCTGACTGTCCATATTGTAAATTCATCGCAGGGCAACAACTTCAGAAGAGAATACATCGCTACTCAGGGACCTCTTCCTGGCACGAAGGACGACTTCTGGAAAATGGCGTGGGAACAGAATGTTCACAACATTGTCATGGTGACCCAGTGTGTGGAGAAGGGCCGAGTGAGTAAACACTCTTCCTGACTTCCAGCTTTGCTTTCCGCCATCTGGAGGGAGCTCTTCCCCGCCATCCAAAGTTAACTCCTGCAAAGCTAAGTAAGGGTCGTATGAGAGAGAACACTGTTAGTGAATTACACCGCCCAGTTCAGCAAGGCTCTGTGAGGTGAGGCCCGATTTGGATCCTGGGCCTGAACTTTCAATCCAAGGTGTCTCCATTTGAGGACTGGGAACACCAGAAGTGCCCTGACACAGAAGGATGAACTGGCCAGCCGTCGCTCCATCCTCCAGTGTTTGGTGAGAGGAGACGCCTTGTCAGGCTCATTGGCTCTGCCCCTACTTTTAGGAAAGAAGGAGACCTGAACTTTGGGCTGTGTCTGCAGAAACAAAGGAAAATAGTTAACTGGACAAATGAAGTAAACCTCTTGTAACGCACTTATACTCCTCTACTTTATATGGTTACTCGGAGATTTGAAAGAGAGATTACCTGTAAAGTGCCCAATACCTGTGGTCAATAATATATGTTCATAATCCTCTTTCTCCTGTCTTTCTGCATGTAATCTTGAGCTTAGATAAATGTTCAGACTTTTCAAAGATCATTTGGCACATGGCATTGGGCCCAGGTTAGGACAGTGATACCAAATTAGAAACAAAACAGGGCCTGGAAGACAGAGCCTCCCTCTGCCCAGCAAGATCTTTCTTCAAAAGGAACATTGTAAGATGTTCCTACCTGCTAGTGGAACTAAAATGCTAAGGAAGTTAAAGAGACCATGACCCACTGTGCCCGAAAGGTAAATGAGCCAGAAGTTGGGGTTCGCTCCTCGCACCGGGAGTGTCTCCCCTTCACTGGCAGCAGCAGCTGGGCTTCAGCGCTGGCCATGAGCAGGTTAATGCAGAGCAGATGCCAAATGGCTTTAGCAGCTGATCCTGGATTCCCACTCAGGAAGACCTTTCCAGGAGGGAAAGTTCAGGTTCACGGAGGAGTCACGTTTCCGGACTCACTTTTTTTTCTGTCTGTTTTCCTCTAGGTGAAGTGTGACCATTACTGGCCAGCGGACCAGGACTCCCTCTACTACGGGGACCTCATCCTGCAGATGCTCTCAGAGTCGGTGCTGCCCGAGTGGACCATCCGGGAGTTTAGGATATGCAGTGTGCGTTGGTTTGTCTGATTTCATTTAATGACCCAGCTTGGAAAGATGAAGGTCACCTGGGAATCGCCTACCTGCTGGTTCCTCTCCTGTCCTTGCAGCCCATAGGCGTTCCTGGTTGGGCACAGCTGCCAAGCTGGAAGCTTTGCCTTATTATCCTTATCTTTCTTCTTCTTTTCCTCTCTGCTCTCACAGGAGGAACAGCTAGACACACACAGGCTCATCCGCCACTTCCACTATACGGTGTGGCCGGACCACGGAGTCCCGGAGACCACCCAGTCCCTGATCCAGTTTGTGAGGACTGTCAGGGACTACATCAACAGGACGCCCGGGGCCGGGCCCACCGTGGTGCACTGCAGGTACTCAGCCACGCGGAGCCCATGACATGACACCCGGGAGACTGGAAAAGGCAGCAGGGTGGGGATCTGGTGGGAGGAGGATGAGTCTGGGCTCAGATGTTGTTAGCTTACTTCTCCTTCTCTCCAACCTCATTCCTTTTCACTGACTTCTCTCTCCTTTCCTGCTTTCTTCACATACCTCCTCTCTCTCACCCTCCTCTCTCTCACCCTCACTCTTCATCCTTCTCTTTCCCTCAGAGATTATTTGGCACATGGCACTGGGCCCAGCGATATCAAACTATAAATAAAACAGGGCCTGGAAGACATGCCTCCCTCTGCCCAGCTAGATCTTTCTTCACAAACAACCATTGTTCTCTTGCTCTTTTTCCTTTTGTACAAAAATGCAGAGTCCTCATGCGACTTCCAGACTCTCCATCCCCCATGCAAGTTCCCAGAACCCCCTCCCACTCTAGCCAGAATGGAGACGGCGTACGCTTACTCTCGCTTCTTACTGCTTGCAATGGCCTTCTCTCTCTCCTCCATCTGTAATAACCCTAACTGTCCTTTAAGATCCTGCTCTAGCCCTCCCTCCCAGTTGAGTAGCACCTGCCATCTGTAGCACCCAACTTTGTTCTTAAATTTATGTTCCCTCTTGAATTCTCCTGGCTTCAGACTACTGTGTGCCCATAAAATCAACCTAGCAATCCACTTCTCTCTCTCTCTCTCTCTCTCTCTCTTTCTCTCTCTCTCTCTCTCTCTCTCTCCTCTCTCCTAGTGTTTACCTAATTAATGTTTGCAGCAACACTTTGATAGTCCTAACTGAATGGCACTAATAAATACGGAGCAGGGAATTGCTGCAGTGAGAAATGTCAAAGGCACTCACTGTCTCCCAATCAGCCCAGCACCCTAGGAGCCCTGCTTCTATATGTCATTGGAACCCTGATGCTTTTAATAGGAATGTGAGGTACAGAGCTTCCTGCCTCCTGAGGAATGGCAGGCATGTTCACCCGGGACCACTGGAGAACTGTTATTTTTCTTAGAAATACATGCAGCAAAAATCCCCAGGTTATGCAATCACTTTGGGGAGCAACTGTCAATCCCTAGTAAAGTTGAAGGGGTTCACACCCTATGATACGCAGTTCTACCTCTACTTATCAGCCCTAGCAAATGCCCGCATGTGTGCCAGTGGTTCTCACAGCAACATGGTCTTTAATAGAATGTGAGTGCCTTTAACAGTAGGGAATGGACTAGTGGTGGATGGACTAAGCAGTGGTTTATGAACTCTATAGAGTTGTTAAGTGAAAGTATATATGTGTGGGTATCGACATGGATAAGTCTCAAAACACAATACTGAGTGGAAAAGTTGGCAGAAGACTACATGAAACATGTTATCGTCTTAGTAAATTTTGAAACATATAAAGTGATTATATTGTTCATGGATGCAGGAGAAGTATAAAAACATGGCTGGAAATGATACACACCAAGTGCAGAGCAGTACCTGCCCCTGGGGGAGTGAGGGAAGGTGAGGGAAAGAGGTAGAGGCTGGGGCTCTAGGTTGCATTTCTTTGAGAGAGCATGTGGAGAGGAAGACGTGTTCCTATAGCCTCCCATAACTTGGAAGGGAAAGAAAGATTTGCTGGTCTCTGGATGCCCTCTTGAAAGGCCGATGTAGCCCTGATCGGCTTGGCTCAGTGGATAGAGCGTCAGCCTGCGGAGTGAAGGGTCCTGGGTACGATTCCGGTCAGGGCATGTACCTTGGTTGCGGGCACAGCCCCAGTGGGAGGTGTGCAGGAGGCAGCTGATAGATGTTTCTCTCTCATCGGTTTCTCTCTCATCGATGTTTCTAGCTCTCTATCCCTCTCCTCTCCTCTCTGTGGAAAATCAATAAAATATATTTTTTTTAAAAAGAAAGAAAGAAAGGCCAATGTAATAAACAGGCTCGGTCCTCCTTCCCTATCTCTTCAGTGCCGGTGTGGGCAGGACTGGAACCTTCATCGCGTTGGACCGAATCCTCCAGCAGTTAGACTCCAAAGACTCTGTGGACATCTATGGAGCAGTGCATGACCTACGGCTTCACAGGGTTCACATGGTGCAGACGGAGGTAAGAGTCACAGGCGGAAGGACACAGACCGCTCTCCATGCCTCCCTCCCAAAGCCCCCAAATGCCCGAGGCCCTCATCTGAGAAGAGGAAATAACTGACTCATTGGGAAGAGAAAGAGCACGGAGGACACAATTTGTCTAGGACTTGTCATTTCAAATCTCAGGGACCCTCAGGATGGTGTGTACCCTTCTCTTCATTGAGCTGGTTGCCCATCTTCTGCAGGTGGGTGGGTAGGAAGACAGATTATTGTGATCAATGCATTATACTTGGGAGAAAGGCCAGGTCATCTTGAAGATCATTTTCAGATTGGCTGATGGGTGAGCACAAGAACTTCAGTTAGTAAAGAGGAAACAGATTCTAATCTCTTCTCTCCTCCAGCCCCCCGCCCCAACTGCACCCCCCAACTCTGGAAACACCAAAGAAGTGTACATTGATTGGGAAGGATAAGTGCATCCATTGGTGGTCCTTTGGCATTTGCAGGGCATTTTTGAACATGTTAATTCATTAGATTTTCACCATAACCTGATAAGAGAGTTATTATTTTCCATTTCCAGGCTAGAAAACTGAGGTTCAGAGGCTTAGGGCTATAAACAGCTGTGAAATGGCCAGACTGGCACTCGAACCTGCTCTAGAGAACCCGGGGCCCTAAGCAGCAAGTCCACTGCCCACAGCCTCTGCACCAGGCCATGTCCCCACACAGACCAAGCATGTCATTTCCCAGTTAATTGCCTTCCAAAGCCCAAGTTCTCTTACCCTTCTGTTTCCTAGGTAACTCTGCAAAATCCTCTACTTAACTTTTTTTGAAAACTCTTTTATTTTTCAATTACATTCCATATTATGTAAGTTTCAATTGTACAGCAGATGGTTAGACATTTATATAACTTTTGAAATGACCTCCCTGTAAGTCTAATACCCATCTGACACCACACATAGTTATTACTAACTAGATGCCCAGGGCACAAAATTCATGCATGGGGGCAGGGGGAGGGGGTTGTCTCTCAGCCTGGCCTGCACCTTCTCCAATCCGGGATCACTCTCACAATCCAGAACCACTGGCTCCTAACTGCTCACCTGCCTGCCTGCCTGATGCCCCTAACTGCTCCCCTGCGAGCCTGATGGCCCTAACTGTTCTCCCCTCCTCACCTAATCCCCCTAACTGCCCTCCCCTCCTGGCCTGATCCCCCTAACTGCCTATCTGCACTCCCCTCCTGGCCTGATCCCCCTAACTGCCTATCTGCTCTCCCTTCCTCTCTGCGCCATTTGGACCCCTGGCGCAGGCGTGCTGAGAGCTCTCTGCTGTGGCCCTGTCCCGGTCCTGATTGGTCTTTACATGACAGCGTCCCATACAATTTGCATATTCCTCTATTATTATTATTGGCTCTATCCCCTGTGCTGTTATTTACTGATATACATCCCCATGACTATTTGTAACTACCACTTTATACTTCTGAATCCCTTCTTCTTTTTTACCCAAACCCGCTCCCCTCTAGCAACCATCAGCCCAGCACCCTAGTTCTCTGTATCTATGAGTCTGTTTCTGTTTTGTTTTTCACTTACTTTGCTCTTTATTTCACATATAAGTGAAATCATATGGTATTTGTCTTTCTCTGTCTGATTTTTTCATTTAGCACAATACTCTCCAGGTCAATCCGTGTTGTTGCAAATGGTAAGGTTTCAATCTTTTTTATGGCCAAGGATTGTGTATATATGTACCACATCTTCTTTATCCAGTTGTCTATCAGTAGACACTTAGGCTGCTTCCATATCTTGACTATTGCAAATAATGCTGCAATGAACATAGTGATGCATCAAAATCCTCTATTTAAAAAAATAATTCCTCTCCAGCCGGTGTGCCTCAGTGGTTGACCATTGACCCATGAACCAGGAGGTCACATTCGATTCCTGGTCAGGGCACATGTTTGTGGGCTCAATCCCCAGTAGGGGACATGCAAGAGGCAGCCGATCAATGATTCTCTCTCATCAATGATGTTTCTATCTCTCTCTCCCTCTCCTTTCCTCTCTCTGAAAGCAGTTTTTTAAAGGTAATTTAAAAAATAATTCCCATGATTAAAAAAGTGGAACGTTCTACATGCTCCTGTCCGTGATTACAGCACACCTGGAAACCGAGCAGCAGCTGGACTGCAGCAGAGCTCCCCCAAGCTTTTTTAAATGCACTATCCCAAAACCTCCTTGACCCCGAATGCTTTTCTTGTGCAGCACATGGTAATCTCATGCAGAGCTCATACTCCGTGACACATGGGAAAACACTGGTGTCATTGCCTCCTACAGGCAGTGCCCTCACCAGGGATCCTCTCCCACCACCACTGCCCTGGCCCAGGAGTGCTTTCATTAGAGCAATTATTTTATTCTGGAATTTTTTAAAAAATACATAAAACTAGGAAAGATGATATTATGAAATCCCATCAACCCAAACTCAAGCTTCTGCAATTATCAGTATTCTGTGTTTTTTTCTCAACTACATCCCACATATCTGGTTCACATGCCTTCATTGGACTATTTTAAAGAAAATTCTACTTATCACATCATTTCATCTTTAAATACTGTGTGTGTGTGTGTGTGTGTGTGAATGTGCAAATTAAAAATATAGACTCTTTTAAAAATTATAATCACTGTATCATTATCAGACCTAACAAATCTAATCATAGTTCTTTAATATCATATAATATTCAGTCAGTGTTTAAATATCCCTAATTATGTCAAAAATGACTTTCCATACCTGGTTTGCATAGAATACAATGTTCACACATTGCATTTGGTTGAGGTCTCTTTTAAATCTCTTTTAATCTATAATGATCCTCCCTCTAATTTGTTTTTCATGCCATATATTTGTTAAAGAGACCAGTTCATTTGTTCTGCAGATTTTCCCACATTCTGGATGTGGCTGACTGCGTTTTCCTGGTGGTACTGTCATCTGTTCCCCACAGTCTTTGTCTGCCAGTGTGAGGCTCCCTTAAATTCAGGTCCCTTTTTACCACCACAGTGTTTCACGGATGGATGGTGCTGAGTACTTCCTGTTGTATCAGGTCAGGAAGGACTTCCTATCTGTGTGAGTCTCTGTCAGTGCCGATGGAATTAACAGTGACATCCACTCTCACGCTCCTCATCAGTTTTTCACTTAGGGTTGGGGCAGCCACTGAGGACCACTGTCTAGCTCTGTTATTTCATGAAGGGTGGCAGAATTACGTCACAGTTTCATACCAGTTATCCATAAGACTGCGAGTTCCTAGAGGACAGAAACGTGTTTTCCTTCTCTCTAGCCTATATATATATATATA